AGAATAGCTTTGCAATCATCGGCGGAGAAAAAGGCGTAAAAATCGGCCTTGGGTGTTTCGCAACGGAAACAATCGATATACGGAATGGGATTGCATCGTTGGAATTCCGGAACGCATAGGCGAAGCGAAAATACAAAAAAGAAAAAAAAGAGGATAGGCCACGCTGGAAAAACGGGGTTTGCTAGGAGTGGTGGCGCGGATCTAGGTTGGGAAGACAATCGCGCGATAAAAGCGGTGAGCCGCCGCGGCGCGAGGCTAGAAAGTGTGTGCCGAACGTCGCCGCGGCGAAAACAAACGGAACAAAAGCAAAAATAAATAAATCGCACCGGAGCGGCGCGGGTATGTGCCCGATCGCGCGCGGCTCGCAGGGAGCAGCGCCGGATTTACAACCGAGAGCGAATAAATGCGACCTTGATCGATTGAGAGATAAGTCGAGGTGATATATTTGCCGCTGTCGTTTATATTCTACGAGCGCGTGCGCGCCGGTGTTCCATTTCCCCGGCAGAGGGGGTTGGGCGTTAATTTTTGAAGCTATCATTCGAATAACGCTGTTACGCAAATAAGATTGTGTTGGAGCGTGATTTGAATATTCACATAATCCGACCTATTATTTTACGGACCGTCCAAGGTACTTGGCTGTATCTATTTTTTCATATATTTATATGAAACAATTATAACTTTAATCAAAAGTAGTGGTTTTTTATGGTCTCAGTATTATATTACTGTTAATAATAAATTTCGATATAGAATATTCTCTTGTTTCCTCGTTGAAAACACATTCAAGTTTAACGTTCTAATAATTAATTTCCGTTTCCCGTATAGCTCTCATTTTACAAATGTAATAATTAAAATTTTAATAGCCTCCATTATATTCTATTCACTTTTTCTCTCTTCCAAACATATTTATAAGGTGACACTGTTAATTTCACACGTGTAATTAAATTATCGATTTGTACTAATCATTCCAGTCTAATTTGAAATAATTTCTTATTTTCTTAAAACGATTTATTAATGGCGTATTTCTATTTTTGCAAATTATTATCGGTATTAATTATTCATAAATTGAGTTTTATGCTGGAAATAAATTTCACACTCATAGATATATAATAGAAATATTTCAAAGTATACAAAAATTCAAATTTTCGCGCTCTTTCTTATTATCAACCAATTACAAGGCTGGATGTCGACGACTCATTATTTTTTTAAGATCGGATTCTAACGGTACGTACAGTGAAGAAGGAAGCGATGAAATAGTGAAACTTTAATTGCACGTTTTCACGGCTGAGGCTTTATTAAGCTAACACCATTACGCGTACAAGCTCAAAATTTGGAGCCAGGCACTGCTTGCTTTCGACAGAGCGTTAATCGCACCCGCAACGTTCGCTTGATGCCCCAAGCTCGCGTGCTAACCGAATCCGCTGCTACGTCCGCCGACCGGCGGGCATTCCGCTCTACGCGCGAGCTTACAAGACACAATGGGAATCCTGGCGATCCGCTGCTCGGCGCCAATAAACCAGCCGATTTCCAATATGCGCCTCTCCCAAGGCGCGCCTTCCGCATTTAAACAAGCCCATCCAAACTGATGGCCGCGGGCAACAGCGTAAATAAATCCGAACTCGACGTATCCAAATCTCATTATCTCGCGCGAGGAGAAAGCGCACGTCCGAATTGGGATTGCCGACGGTCTCTCGAGCAAGCATCTCTCCGCGACGCTCGGGCGCCGCAGTCCCTCGAAAACATTGACGGCGGGCCACTCGCGCGCGTCGCCAGACTTTTTCCTCCTAATTTCGCTCGATTAGTGCCCGCACGCATGATTCGACCGGCTTCCGCGCTCTTCAACACTCTTCGTTTATTCACATTTTCCAGGCGAGATCGACGAATTCGCTTTGCTCGCTGCGCTGCGGCTTCGTGCCAATCGTCTCCCCAGCCGCGTGCTAAACAACTTCATACGGACTTTCGATTGCATGTTGCCGAGATGATAATAGTAAGCATTTGTCGATTGATTCGCTCGTAAGATCAACGCTGACGGCAACCAGATCTGAGACGAGCGATTCGAGATTAAGGATGAGTATTTGACTTTTGTTTTTGTGCGCAGTTAAATAAATATGTTTCAATTTTTCTTTCATAATAATGCAACGCAGTTGGTAAAATTTATCTCTTATAATAATTCAAATATAGCGCAGACTTTCGAATGTTCTCGTTGTTGAAAAGTTCATTCTTGCCACAATACCAATTAACGGCGTCGAGACTTCGAAAGTATACAGACACCAAGCAGACTAATGTGAGAGCTAGTTGAGTATTCAGGTTTCAGAATCGTGGGTCTATACGAAGCGTACGATAAACTCGATAAGCAGTAGTGACTTGGAGAAAAACAGGAGATATGAGGACCCGTAAAAATTTAAATAACGCACGCCGATCCTTGTGGTTGTTCTCGCGTAAATCAGCTCTCTCTCTCTCTCTCTCTCTCTCTCTCTTGCTCTCGACAATGATTCGAATAAAAGTCGTTATCGAAGCTGGCTTTTTGCCGAGGAACGCCTACGTTGTCGAAAGGGAAAAATCGCCACTCGAAAAGCTCTGCAGAAAGGCGCCTCCTCCGAGCCGTCGCGGTTACGCTAGGTGACGCCGACGCCGCCGCTGCCGTAGCACAATGAAGTTATTGTACCGGATGCCAGGCTCGATTCCCATGTCAGTCGTGTCGCGCACGCACACGTGCTGGCTGCAGCCACACGAGCATATGCGCGCAACGTGACCGCGTCCTTTTCGGATATTCCATGCTTTTTTTTCTCTCTCTCTCTCTCTCTCCCTCGACGTGTCGGGAATGGTGGTTTATATAGTTTCTTTTTTTGGTTTCTTTCTTTTTGCGGGCTTTTCTTTCAGAGCGGGAAGTGCAATCGCGCGAAGGACGCTGTTATTTTGGGAGAGAGGAAGAGCGGTTTTTTTTATTACGGTTAACGTGTGATTAGAGAGAAAAAGAGAGAGAGAGAGGAGTTACGTAAGAGGTGTGTATACTGCTGTTTTTTTTTTGCTGAGGTACTCGTAATAATAGTAGCGAAGTCGGTGGAAACGTATTTTTTTTTCTTTTCGTTTTCTGCTTCTGTTTGTAGCTCGAATGTATTTTTACTTTCATCTTTTCTAAAAGAGATTCTTCGCGTGAAAATCATATCGCTGGGCGTGAAAGGGATCCGATAAGTTGTACAATTTATAAGACAGTGCATTTTCGCGCACAAGTGAATTAGGCGCGTATTACGATTACTTGGACCGTTGTGAAATTCGCGCAACGTAATGTGTCTGCGCGTGCGAATCGCGACTTGTGTAATAGTCACGTAAAAACATGCAAACTCATATCGCAAATGCTTATATGCGTAATGCTTTCAGCATCGACGTGACAATTAAAAATAACTTCTTATTATTATTATTATATTTTTTGATGATAAAGTTGCTAATGGCAGTGTTTATTTTTCGAAACGAGGATGTTTCAATCTTGCCTTTTACATCCGGAATACCATTGCAAAATCAATAAATTTGATTAACTGCTCGGCAGTAGATCAAGACCTGCGTTCTCGTAACTTTCGTGCAGTCACATCGTTTGTCTCCAAAATGAATGTTAGTAACGAATACCCCACATTGAAGGTCTGACTTATCGACGTTCAAACTGTCCTATTTTTATCGTCGAGACTATGCCATGCTATTTTCCTATTCACTTCAACAAGGGTTTCCTTATCGGATAATCGAAATCCCAAATTCATCGTAAATGATATATATTTGATTGTACGTCACTCTTACAAATGCACACTATGGCAAAGTTGTACCAATCGAGTCGTTCCTTTTTCGTCGTTCGGTCCACGCAGAAATTCCCCCTCTCTAAAGAGAGGGAGAGAGAAAAAAAAGCCCGGCACTCATGAATAAATTACCCGTTCTCTCGGTTATTGCACACTTTCGCACTATATTTATCCACTTTGTACGTCGATAACCGCTATCTTCATCGCGCGCACGGCTCGCGCACTCGAAAGATCCACGCGCTGCGACAAATTAATCATTCGCAGCGTTCGCGCTTGATCGACTCGCACGCACACTTGACCTCGAGGCAGCCGATAAGACGACTCACCCCGTTTCCGGTTTGCGCAAAAACTATCTCGGAGGCGTAGCACGCCCCGACTCTCGAGAGAGCCGAATGGATTAATGGAGCTTCTTGTCGTGGCTATAAATTTCGCGAGTGACGTCAGTTCGCGCGCGCGCGCGGCGCAAAAAAATCATTTCATTCGCGCGAGAGCGGTGGTTCGCTGTGTTTTTTTTTTTTTTTCTTTTTTGTTTTTTTTTCTGGGGTAGGTAGTTAGCGCACATTGGCGGCGACAGATAGAGAGAGAGAGAGAGAGGTCCACGCTCTATTTTCGTGACTCTCTACCATTTCACGATTATCTAGAGTAGGTCGCTCATTTCTGGGAGGGGCGACGACGACGACGACGGCTCGCTTCAAATTAGCCGATATTGAAAACATCGCGATTGCCTCTGCGCACGCCGCGCTCTTCGTTTACCAGAGCGGCGCTCGCCGATGCCTTTCGATGAGTTATTGCGATACCGAAGGTCAGCCACGCGTCGGCGCATCGACCCTTTTATTCTCTCTCTCTCTCTCTCTCTCTCTTTCGCAGCGCATTAGCCTTCCTCAGGTTCTGACTCATGCGGCAATACCTATACAATAAAAATTCCTGCTCCCCGTTAAAAGTTACCGGCCGTCAAAATTCCACGGAGCGGGATGACGTTGGCTATGCGCTTTTTAAAGATCGCTGCGCATCGGCGGAGGTTGCGGCCAGAGTGTGTGAGAGAGAGAGAGAGAGAGAGTTCGGTGGGTCGCGCAACACGGGACCCCCGGGTACGACGGGCCGCGCGTGCGTCGCCGCGAACGACGGATGGACGCGCGGGTCGACTTTTATCAGGAGGCCGATAGACGCGCGCCAATCGCGATCGATCGACGGCATCGGCGTCTAATTAAAGTTCTGTTGCAGGGAGGCATGGAAGCGCCAGAGCAGCAGCAGCCTCCGGGGCAGTTCGAGTGCCGCTGAGCGTCGTCAAAGAGCGAAGCCGTTGTCGGTAGGTGTGTGCGCGCGCAAGGTTGTCGCATGCGCGCTCGCCAGCCCCGACAGCTTTTCCAGATAAGAGCTTCGCAGCCGAGATCACTGCACCCGTGACTTACTTTCTCTGTGTGTGCGACTGTACAAAGCCCGAGCGAGGCGTGGGTAAACAACTGCGAGCGACTCGGGGGAGCAGGGGGGAAGGGTGTGGAGATTATCGAGCGACGCGGCTTCTTCGCTTCGTTTTATTTTTCGGAACAAGAGATAAGGCGTTTACGGGGATTTTCGGGGGAAGGTTGAGTTTTCAAGTTTTAGTCGCATAACTTTTCCGCGGGGCTTCGGGTTTGTTGGATACTTGGCGGGTGTATCAGTGAACGCAAAGCGCCCGACTTCTGACGGGTCCTTCGCCGCCACTGCGATCGATCCGGTTTTCAAGATTGAAAGCAAGCCAATACGCCAATACAGTTTTAGCACATAACTCGGATCGCGATCATCCGAATAGGACTCGATCTCTCGAGAGGAAGAATCGCATTCGGCGCACAGTTGCACCGAATGTTCGTCGATTCGATTGCGCACTCGCAGCCAGACTGTCGCGTCCAGGCACTCGCGCATCGGCCGAAATCGCTGGCTGGCTCTTGGCCTCACTGGCGCGCTAAAAGCCCTTTTGGCGAATAATCAGATTTGCTCGAGTGGCAAGCCGCGCGCTCGCGAGGGCCGGGATTCCAGCGCGAAAAGGAACTAGCACAAGCGCCAAATAGGATTTGCTCGGCGAGTGGCCGAGGCGGCTGTTGCGCGCTGAACGCCCGAGACTCGTGTGTTTGTGCCGCAGACGGACGGGCGCAAGGAGGTGGCGCAGGTGGCGGAGGAGGAGGAGGAGGTGGAGAGCCGCTGCCTCGGAGAGACCGATGAAGACGAGAAGGCCGTCGGGACTTGGACGCGAGTGGACTGCAGCCCAACGACCGCGAGCCCCCCTCCCGTCGCGAGCGGACGTCGTCGACGATCTGCGTAAGTCGCTTGCGGCCTTGTCGGCGTCTGTCCTAGTTGACTGAGCTGCAGCTTTGCGTTGCAAGTGCCCGAAGCGCAGCGCCGATAATTCCGATCGGCCGATAAAGGAGCTCCGTCGGACGCGCGGCAATGGCGGCACCGGTCATCGAGAAGAAGCGCTTCTTTTGCCGCGAGTGGGCGTTCGCCAAGCTGTCGCATTGCCTGGAGCAGCGGCCGGCGTCGAAGACCTGCGGCGTGCTGGTGGTCGGCGGCCCGGGCAGCGGCAAGACGGCGCTCTGCGCCGAGCTCGCCTGGCCGTCGGCCGGGCCGCAGGCGAAGCACCAGCGGGCGCTCAACAGGAGAGTCCTGGCGAGGCACTTTTGCCAGGCGCGAAGCGAGGCGAGCCTGTCGCCCGCGCAGTTCGTCAGGAGCCTCGTCGCCCAACTGCTGCAGGCGAGCTCGGAGGGGATCAAGCTGCCCTCGGCGACCTCGTCGGTGAGTGCATCGTGAATTCCCTCGCCAACGCCGTGGCGGCTTGCGTTTGCTCCTCCCTCTCGCAACACTTTCGGGCCCCCTGCAGACCCACCGAATCCAACGACGATGCAGCAGCGTGGACCCGAGTGCTCGAGTAACGCGGCGTTCGCACTCGCGCTGGTGCTCGGTCGAGACTGTCTCGCGCGTTCCGAGGCAATCGCAATAATTTCAATTTGTCAAATCGGCCGCATTAGGGCGTACGATCGCGCGGGCGACGCCAGCCTTGCAAGGCGACGAGGCGCGCGCCCAAGGCGAGTTTTAGTCGCGGCATTTGTAAAATCTCACGCGCGGGCCCGAACGCACCGCGCGCAAGTTAGAGCCAATTTAAATTCCATACAGTGCGTCATATGGCAAGCCGTGCATCTAGCAGTGGCTCGGTTTCAGCTGCAACGAGATGGAGAATGGACGGCGACGTCGTTCTCCGTTTTGGCTCGCTCGAAAATTCTTCGTTACGACGTCGCTCCCGACTTGGCCAACTCCGCTCTCGGAGGTCGAAGGCGGAGATCCCCGCTGCAATTTTAACGAACTTTCGCCCGCGGGACCTCTTCGGAATTAATTTGCGCGCGCGCGCAGCCTGTAGAGCGAGCGAGTTCTACGCCTGACGCACATTCCGGGCAACGAGATGATGGAAGAAAAATCAATCGCCATCGGCACGCCAAGATCGGATTGAAAGTTAGTGACAACGCGGTGTTCCGACTCCGTTACTCCAGTCGGCGATGGGGGTCTGCTCGTCCCGACTATACCAAAGTGTTCGGTCCCAAATATAATCGCGAGAACCGCGCGAAGAATCATTCGCAGTTCAGCTCGAAATCACCTCTCGGTCGCGAGCAACAAAATATATCATTGATTTGTCGGCAGTTGCCAAGCTCGCCGAGCGGCAGTCAAACGGCCCTGGGCAGCGCGAACAACGCGTCGCCGACGAACGAGGCGAGCAACGGAGTGACGACAGCGCGGGAATCGGTGGCCGAGGCGTACGCGGAAAATCTGCGCACCGACCCCGAGATCCAGGCGGCACTCCAGCCCGAGGTGCTCGACCGCAATCCCGACGAGGCGCTTCGCAAGGCTGTTCTATTCCCGTTGCTCGAAATCGACACTCCGAAGGACTGCCTGATGCTCGTTGTGGACTCGATCGACGAGGGTCCGATTCCCGGCTCGGGCTCCAATACCCAGCAGGTGAGGAGGACAGAGGCTTCTTTGTCGGCATGGCCGTTGCGCGCTCTTCGTTCGCACCTCTGCGGGAGGCCGAACAAAGAGTGCCTGTGCCGTCGAGCAACCGGCGTGTCGCTCGCTCGCCCAACTTGTCGAACGCGCCTGTCCGCGGAGGCTCGCAGACAGCTTCAAATGCCAAATTTTACTCGTCCGATGTAGGCAAGCAGCGCAAGCGTCTTAGCCCTGAACGCATCGGGCAACGGTCGGGATTCGAAGCGCGAATCCGAAAACGAGGACGACGAGGAGGTGTCGCGAACGATAGCCGAGCTCTTGGCGAGTCATCATCATTTGTTCCCGCAATGGCTGCTGCTAGTCTGCACGGCTCGTCGCCAGAGCAAAACGATCTCTCGCATGTTCACCGGTTTCCGCAAGATCTCGCTCGACGACCTGCGCAAGTCCCAGGTCGTTCGCGACGTGCAGCAGTACATACTCGCCAGGCTCGACCAGGAGGACGCGCTCAGACAGCATATCTCCAGGGACACCGCCGAGATGCTCAATCACCTGCACATCAAGAGCAACGGCTGCTTTCTTTACCTCGAGAAGGTACTGGACGGCGTGGCCGAGTACTTTATCGTGCTGCGGGAGGTCAGAGAGATCCCGGGTAAGTTGCAAGTCACCACTTCTCTTACTTCCGTAGTGTTACGTCGCGCAGTGAGACGGATTTTCACGATAGATCTGTTCGCCAGGTCGATCGTCGCCTCGCGCTCACTGACGCTTAGCGGCCGTAACGTGCCGCACGTCGTTAAGTCAAATAACGTCGCGCGAGGAACAAAAACAGGAAAACATTGCACCTCGGGCGTCACATTCAATTTAACATTGGGACTGAACTCGATCTATTTTATGAGAAAACCTTTGGCGTGTGCCGCGTTTCCTTGATAAAGGCATAAAACTTGACGGAATCGCGCTTCGCGGGCTCCACCAAACGCTCGGAGTAACCGAGTCTGATTTTTCGCGCCGAGGAACGTTAGCATCGCGTAATGCAGAATATTCGTGGTCAAGCGTGAATGCTGGCGTTAGACTTGTAATATTTCACTACGGAGGGATACAGCGGAAGGTCGACGCACCGCTGTTACCTGTGTTCTACGTGCGTATATTATAACTCGGTCCGATCCGCACTTTCGTTTGACACGCTCGGTGCCTCGCGCCAATCGAAAATCATTGCACACGGTCGTACGTTATCTAACTCGCCGCGCGTACTCGTCGACAAGCCTCGTGAATATTTAGCTGCGCGTTGCGCAAATCGCCAGCGCGTTGGGAAACCGGCGGTCCACGTCGAGGGCCCGAGACTAATCGCTAATTGTCCACGACAGGTACGTTGAACGGTCTCTATCTGTGGCTCTGTCAGCGCCTGTTCAGTCGCAAACAGTTCGCCAAGGTGCAGCCGCTGCTGAACGTCATATTGGCGGCCAAGCTGCCGATCACCCAGTCGATCCTGTACGACTGCGTGAAAACGGCCAATCCGGCTCTCACGCAGGAGGACTTTAATCGCCAGCTGCATCTGCTCAGGCGCGTTATCTCGGTGTCGCGCGCCGGCGCCCTTATGCTCTTTCACCATAGCTTCGCCGAGTGGCTGCTCGACGTCAAGCACTGCACGCAAAAGTATTTGTGCTCCGCCACCGAAGGTACGTTCCGCTGACCGCTCGCTCTCGCGCAAAGGCGCAACTCGCAAGCTGCTTGAACGTTGCTCGCCGCTCGGTTCGCTACTATGCAGCTCCGTTTACCAATGAGTTCTCGTATGCTGTGCTTTGTTTTCACGAACATTTTCTCTTGATCGTCGCAATGTAGACACGCAAGTCTACGTTGGTTTACCACTAGAGGGCCACGGCTTCCGTATAAATCAAGTTTCTCTCGTTCAGCTAAAAATGGTCATCCCGCACATTTCCTTTGTCTTCAAGTCACTTCTGACGGCTCTTTTCTTTTTTATTCTTCCAAGAGATGTTAAGATTCACGTGCCAAACTAATTATTACGACAATCAGCTGTTAATTATTAACTGCTTATACATATTCTCTGCGAAAGAGTGATTTGACCAAAACAACACAAAGTTATCGAAATACGCGCGAATCAAATTAAATATAACGATTTCGATATTAATCGCCGAATAAAATAAGTAAAAGAAAAAAAAAACTTCATTGCAGGCCACGCAATGCTGGCAATGTACTACACGCTACGCGCAAGCGATCTCGATCCAGACGAGATTTGCGTGTTAGCGCAACACGTTCAAGGTGCCTTCGCCTGCCAAACGCAAAACATGCAACATCACCCGTACTACCAGCAGCATCACCACAGTACCACGAAATCCAACTCGACGATAGCCAACGACGCGGTGTCAACGAACGACGCACCGGCAGCATCGACCACGTCGACGACAGCCCAACCGCCGATGCTCGACTCGTATACCCTTCAGCTGCTCTGGTTGATCGGCAGCGGTGCGCCCTTCAAGAATTGCTACCTCGACAGTAGCGAGTGCATTTTGTGGCCGAAGCAGGATGCCAAGCTGCTTAAATTGCTCGTGGATGCAGGAGCTAAGTCGTCGGAGAAGAGCGGCGACGAGGAGGATTGCGGCAAAAATGTTCTTGTAACTTCTAGTCAAGTAGGTTTCCCTCGTGAACTCGCGCGGATCCTCTTGCGGAGCGATTCTTTTGTCGCGACTGGATGATTGCCAAGAAAACATTGATATTCTTTTGACTCGGCACTATGTCTCTCTCTCTCTTTCTCTCTCGAGTGTAACGAGAGAAAAGCCGGAGAAATCAATATTTAGCCAATCAAGAAAGTTCTGGCGAACAAAAGGATCAAAATTCAAAGCACCAGCCCCTTTTTTGGCTGCGAAGCACATGCACGTAGAGAAAGAGAGAGAGAGAGAGAGAGAGAGAGCAGCAGCAGCAGCCAGAAGGGGGGTAATTGGCCGTAACAGCCGCAGAATAATCGATAACCCGCGCGCTCGCTGCCAATGTGCGCTTTGAATTTCAGATTTCACGCAATTCGAGCCCAACCGACGAGTCGCCGATCGAGCCATTGGCAGAGCTTCTCGGCGAGAATGGTGATATCAACCAAACGGATTCATGCGGTCGCACGGTGTTGCATAACCTCGCTGCCGATGGGAATGCCACTTTATTGGAATTGGCTTTGGAAGCTTGTCCACAAGTTCGTTTATAATTTTTTCACTTTCGCGATTTTCTTCTTTTTATCTTTGCGAGATCGCAGCTCTCTCACGACGCTTCGTTTTTCTTCGAAGGCTAAATTGGAAACTACGGACCGGCATGGCCAGACTGCGCTCAATCTTGCTGCCAGGCACGGATACTCGGAAGTCGTGAAAGTTTTATTGGCGGCCGGGGCTAATGTCGATCACGCTGATTGCGATGGCTGGACTGCATTGAGAGCTGCTGCTTGGGGTGGCCACACGAAGGTATATATACCATTGCAGCTTGACGTACGTATCTTGTCTCGTGCTACTTTTGTAGCTTTCCCCATTGAAAACACTTTTAGATAATTAAAGATTCGTGATAAACTAGCGCGATATCTATAAAAATTCTAACGGTGAACAATCTCAATTTCGAGGTTATTCTGAATAACGTCGCTGGATATAAACTAATGACCGTTTTCATCGTCGGCACTTTAGGTGGTGGAGCAATTGTTAAAATGCGGTGCGATGGTGGATTGCGCAGACTGGGATCAGCGCACGGCCCTACGTGCAGCAGCTTGGGGTGGCCACGAAGAGATCGTAAAAGCACTGCTGCAACACGACGCCGACGTTAACAGGACGGACGATGAGGGTCGTACGGCTCTTATTGCCGCAGCTTACATGGGCCATAGCGAGATTGTCGAGCATCTGCTGGATTTCGGTGCCGTGATCGATCATGCAGATAGCGATGGAAGAACTGCTTTGAGTGTTGCTGCGCTTTGTGTGCCGTCGAGTCATGGTTATACCAAGGTTTGTCAATAATATTTAACAATTAATCGTTGAACTGCGGAAACTTGAATGGCGCTGCAATTGAAGTATTAATATGGATATTTGTAACTGCTAATCGAGCGCTTTCAACTACAGATGGACATTGTCGTAACAATCGATCGATTGAATAATTATTTTTGCGCTTATAATGCGGCGTCCAATAATAATTATTTTTGGAAATTAAATAATATGCTCAATAATTTTATTGAATACCCTTTGCTTTTGCCTCAAATTCTTCGTGTTCCTTGCAAAATTGATTGCTTGCGACTTTTAATTGCTTAAAATTATCTCAAATACAACTATTGAAAGCTGACTCCTTTGCTGAATTTTCCGTGAAAATGAATCGTTCAGTTTAATTTCTAATTAAAACCATTTAACTAAAATTGAGAATATATTTATTTATGTAAATTCAGGTGGTTAGCCTCCTACTCGAGCGAGGAGCCGACGTAAACCACCAAGATAAGGATGGCATGACACCACTTCTAGTAGCCGCATTCGAAGGACACCGTGACGTTTGCGAATTGCTATTGGAGTTCGAAGCAGACGTGGATCATTGCGATGCGACTGGACGTACACCACTGTGGGCAGCAGCGAGTATGGGTCATGGTTCGGTCGTTGCACTTCTGCTATTCTGGGGGTGTTACGTCGATAGTATCGACAACGAAGGTAGAACTGTACTAAGTGTTGCTGCTGCTCAAGGGACTACTGATGTCGTTAAACAATTGCTCGATAGAGGTACGATATGTGACTTTCTTTATTATTCTACTTTGAATGTTTATTCGGCGTGCGATGTCTAAGTGAAATGGTGAATTAGCTCGTGTGTTCCAATTTACTTGAAAATTTATTCACGCCCGTCTACGAACGCAGAGACCAAGATTTGCATATCGTTTAACTAAATCCGAGTCACTCACGCCTTGATTTGCATATGATCTATGCTGAGCGCAATCAACGCGTTTAAGTTGATGTATGGCTACAAAAACTGAAATACGCTATATTCTACTAAAATTAATTAATTTCTGCAAACTACTATGGAAACTCTCCCTAGCATTCCTTTTATCTCTTCTAAATATATATAACTTGCAGTATATTGAAAAGTAATTAAAAAGTTGCAATGAAAGCCTTGAATCTTGGCTTTCCATAATAAATAACAATTTTCCTTCAGGCCTGGACGAGCAGCATAGGGATAATTCAGGCTGGACGCCATTGCATTACGCTGCCTTCGAAGGCCACGCTGACGTGTGCGAGGCGCTATTAGAAGCCGGTGCAAAGATCGACGAGGCAGACAACGATGGCAAAGGTGCCCTCATGCTCGCAGCACAAGAGGGACACACGAATCTCGTAGAGAGGCTTATCGAGCAACATTGTGCCCCCATCGACCAACATGCACACGATGGAAAAACTGCATTGAGGTGCGACGATGGTTTCAATAGGTAGATAAGAGAGCTGCTGCTGTCGGCTATAATGGAAAATTTTTTTTTATGTAGACTGGCTGCATTGGAAGGGCACTACGACACGGTAAAAGTGCTGCTATCTCACAACGCCGACATTAACGCGAAGGATGCCGATGGCAGGAGTATACTCTATATATTGGCGTTGGAAAATCGATTGGCCATGGCAAGATTTCTACTGGAACACGCGCGGCCTGACATTGAGAGTAGGGATTCTGAGGTGAGAGGCTGCATTACATCGCACGTAAATAGGATGTGTTTAGTGTTACGGATATAATTCAATTCGATTTGTCAACCGGAAAAAGATACATTTTTTTACTGACCTACATCTCAAAATAGAAAAAAATGGTACATTACTTTGTTTTTTGCAGGGAAGAACAGCATTGCACGTGAGCGCGTGGCAAGGTCACGTCGAAATGGTCGCTCTACTTTTAGCTGAAGGTGGTGCGAGTGTAAACGCTCGAGACAACGAAAACAGAACTCCGTTGCACTCGGCGGCTTGGCAAGGACACGCCGCTGTAGTTCGATTGTTGCTCGAACATGGCGCCACGCCCGATCACACGTGTAATCAAGGTGCAACAGCATTGGGCATTGCTGCTCAAGAAGGTCACGAAAGCTGCGTTCGAGCCTTACTTACGCACGGAGCTGATCCCAATCATTCGGATCATTGTGGTAGAAATGCTATCAAAGTCGCAGCTAAGAGCGGACATGATACCGTGGTGAGGTTGCTTGAAGAACATGCTGCTAATCGACGAAGTTCTAGACCAGGTATGGAATTAACGTGGGAAATTATGAAAAGACATAGTTACGTAGATAAATTTATGCTTGTAGGTGGTAGCAGCAGTGCTACTTCGGTAACTTCGAACTCAACGACCGAGACAAAGCCTTCCTCAGCAGTGTTAAACCCAATGTCCACTCAGTACAGTCCAGCCGAGTCGCCGGACTCTACCAAGAGACGGAGCTGTGTGTCCCTTGGAAATCATTCGAGTAATAGCAAGTCTAGTAGTAATTTGACTGGTAGTACTAAAAGCGATCGTTGTAAGATTAATCAAAATCCACCTGTTCAAGTTAGTCAAGGTTCTAGTAGGGTGAATATTTCAAGCTCGTTTAAAATCAATTCTATAATAAGTCACGATGATAAAGAAAGCTCGTTTGTCATTTACAGGCTGTGCTGTCATTTACACAGCAGCTCCAGCAATGCTCTCGCGGCGTGAAATCACGACCGCTGAGTAAACTGCTATCGCCTTTGAAAAGCGAGCCACAGAGTCCAATTTACGCATCGCCGCCTCACTCGCCTTCAAGTGACAGCCTCATTCCGTATTCACCGACAAATACTAGTCCGCCGAGTGCTCAAACAGCCGCGAGTGTTATTCAGAATCAGCTTGGTGTTTCGCTGCTTACTGCCACTCATAGTACGCAGTATAAACCTGCGAGTGGCTATGACAGAACTGGGGCTTTGTACGATGCCATTTGCATTAAGAAAAATCAGCATCCGGTGAGTTTCCGTGAATATCTTTTTATGGTTTAGTTGAAAATGAAAGATCGGAGATGCATAATCGTGTGTTTTTAGCCTTTGATGGAAAGTGCCACAGAAGTCAAGCCGTTCGAGCTGACGAACGAAATGCTAGGCTTATCTATTAATTCCGAGAGAAAGAACTGTCACGAGGAGAAGAAACTTGCAGATACTCACTTTACCAGAGATACTCACATGAGAATAATTTTGGGTAATAGCGGAGTTGGAGTTGGTCGTAATATTAAGCATTCGTCTGATAACTCGACTGGAAAGTACGTATATCGTATATATATTTTTTTACGCGATGGTCGTTGATTTTTAATTGAAATTATTTCTTTGCAGCAGTTCAGGTAATTCGAGACCAAAAAGAAATGGCTTCGTATCGTCTAACCCAGCAATGCGTCTAGTTGCCGGCGTTAGAAATGGAATTGAGAATGCAACGAATCGAAACAAGCCAGTGACCACTCGTGTAAATGGATTTCAGTGGAAGGCAGAAGCCAGAAAAGAAACTCCCTTATAGGAGCAGGCACGTACAGTCATCTTATTATTTTGACATTCGAAAAAGCAATTCTTATTGACATTTCTATTAAAATTGCAGGATTTAATGTTTGCCAAGTGCACGCACGAAACATCCATACATCAGCAACCATCCTCCGACTGGAGGAGCTATCTGAGCAAGAAGCGCAAATCCTTTCGAAGATTTTTCTCGTTTCCCTTGAGCAGAATCAAACTACCGCCAAAGAAAGAGAGCAGCAAGAGAAAAAGACGTAGCTACCGGAGAAAAGATGAAATGTGATCGCGTTCGAGGAGCTTGAAGCGAAAAGCTCGTCGGATATCTACATACCAAATCCTTTAACGAAACCCTACGTCAAGTTAAGGTTATTATTATGATTATTACTATGATTATTATAAAGAAAGAAGCAAAAAAAGTTACAAAAAAAATTAGATGCGTTATATATTAGAAAAAAAATATGAACCGAGCAGACGTAATCCTAATGACAGTTAAGGAATGTGTGTATAATAAATGTAACATTAGAGAAGTCCTCTATTGATCTCATCGAAGTTCATACTCTCTAACGTAAGCTGTGAAGTGAAACCTAAACTATAATTTAAAAGAAAATAAAAAAAGGTAAAAAACAAAAATGAAAGCAAAGAGAACGTACGACGATGAAAAAGGACGAAAAACTAGTGTAAAGACTGAATCGCACTCCGAACACAAGTGCTGATCCTTTTTTTATTTCTTGTGTCTTGACGATAAAAAAAATTCAATTGACGGAGCGTAGATTTTAACAAATACAAAATATATATATATGCAGTGAAGACGTGTAAAGATGAAAGCAAATACTATTACGATTATTATTATTAGAATTTTCATCAATAGTGACATTTGAGAATTAAATTAGTAAAAAAAAAAATGAGAAAGTTTGTTTAGAGAAAAGAAATACGTAATAAACCATGGCCTCAATTCAAATATAAACGAGATTTGTGTATATAAGTGTCTGGAAAAAACAATATGTATCTGCACCTCATATAACGCATTACGTACTTTTTATATTATTTTATTATTGATATTATTGCGAACAAAATATTTATTATTAGTTCTAGTGTCTCTCATTAGTGATGATTATAGCACTATTACCGATTTTGAGTTTCGTTGTTACGAAATAGATGCATTAATAAATTGAACTTTTGTCAAAATACCACTTTCGCAACTCATTTACAATAATTATAATGAAAAATATGCTGTCTTGCAATTAGTATATAATGTATACTTTTAGTAAAATGAATTCGTGAAGGAAAATAAAAGATCAAGTTGCATTAATTTTTCGTGATCAAATGATGACAATCGCATCAACTTACCAAGCATTAGATTATTATAAAGTTGTTGCATTTTCGACTGGTATTAATAAAATTGTTTTTAAATTATAAATTTGTATAGCAGATAAATGTTCATATTGTGAGTAATTAGTGTATAATTATATTTTTTTAAAGGGATAAAAGAACTTATAGTAGATATGTCAACATTAACAACTTGTTTAATTAGTGGTAACGGTTAATTCAACTATAATTTGAATAACAATTAATATAGCTTTGTCGATTATAAATTTCAGCTGCATGTTTCATTTGTGAATGAGTGTGAAAATGAAGTATAATTTTTCTGTTGAAAATGAAAAACCGTATAATGCACGACAGCATATTTTTTTCTCTACTTGCCTTCTTAACAGTATTCCGATTATTTAAAATTGTAAGTTAATTTTTGAATGCTAAACGCAAAAAATTAACATGTAAGCATTTAATTTTTTTAAATGTAGATTATAGTTCCGTGTGTTAAAGAGTATTTTATCTATAATAATTCACCGGAAAGTCCTTTTCAAGCTAGTTTTAGTCATTAGCGAATATTCGTCAAGTTACTATCAATAAATCTTAAAAATACTGTTACGGTAATTACTTGAGCAAATTTCTATTTCAAGTTTCTGGTTGAATAAAAGATATTAATTTTTTTTAAGAATGTAACAATAGGATAATGATAATCTCATAGAGTTATTTTAAATATTAATTAGACTAATTTAAATTTTGATAATCTATTGAAAAACAGATATAACGCCTTTCTCTCTACGCTTCAACACTTTTGTTCTGATAAGAAAATGGTGGCAATCTACGCTTAACATTTCTCTTACTCGACCGAATTCTTATCAACATCAGTAGATTCTCAACAAAAAGAAGGAAAAAAGACACACTTATTCCTACCATCCATATTCCAAATATCAAGTAAACTTGAGAAATATCTATGGATTGAAAAGGGGCCTCTCGATTACTCTCCTGCTGCCAATTCAACCATCGTGCTTTCAATGCATCAATCAACCCAAACTCAATCATCTTCAATATCCTAAAATTAATATAAAAAAATCAAATTTGAATTCTGTCTCTCGTCATAAATCTCATTACCCAACATCAAAACTTCTTTTGTACGGAAATCCCTTCTTAATCGCCGCCGAGATCCAAGTTTCAAAATACGATTCCCACGATGGCACAAGTCTCGGACAGATACGTCGGCCAATTGCATTGTGCCGATCAGCAGCTTCGAACGCCGCGTACTTGTGTTTCTTACTGAAGCAAACTTTCTCGTAAAGATCTCTGGCTGCTGGTGCGAAACTTACTCTTTGAAAATCACGCACGTGCTTGTAGTACCTCGATGCGAGATTCTATAAAACAATCAGATTTATCGAGTCATCGTCCCTGAAAAATAAAAAAAAACCAATCATTCACCTCAAAATCTTGATGAACCATCGACCCGTTAAAAGCGATCACATCGTACTTGGTAGTCTGGATTAGATCCTTCAGTCCAGCGAAAGGCAGAACGTACTTACGGTTCATCATCAGGTATATCGCGTGCGAGCTGAAGGCTATGAGTATGATCCACGAAAACATACTCGTGCAGATGTATATTATTCGAGATTTTTTGTGGACTTCCGGCGGTACGAAACCTGTTTTACAATTTCGTTTGACTATCAATCATGAGAATTGTATAGACGGTGCGAACCTTGCGAGGATGCAATAGCAATGGTGTAAATAATGTGATCCTGCAGGTTACACCGTATTGGCTCTCGGGCAGTTATGGTTGAGATTTTCTCATAAGCGTAGCCCGCCAAGCTCAGCGCGAGCAGCGAAACGAACACGCAGTACCAGAGCTCCATGGAGAACAAGTGAATCATCCAGATTTCATCGTGCTTCCATTCGGGCAACACGTACAGATGATATCTGTGGCGGGATCGCGTTGCATTCCACTTGAGATTTTTAATTTGAAGTGCTTACCTGATCGTCCACAAAGGGACGGTGTATTCGACCAAATTCAAACGACTCGCGAATGCACCGGCTCTGGGGATGATTTGCGACTGGTTTTGCTGGATGAGACCCAAGAGGCCGTCGAAAGTTCCGTTTTCCAGTTCGTTGCCGAAATTTTTGTTCTCCAGCTTGATCGGCACTAGACTGTACAATATAAATCCGTATAAAGGGCGTTTGCGTCTCGCTGGAAGGTGGATGTGACGTACGTGAAGTTCAAGTAATCGGCAAGAGTCGTCCAAATGTCACCGCAGACACCAGTGATCCTCGTATCGTTATCCACGAAATTCACGATGTTCGATTCCTTCGAACGACCCTCCTAATGTCGTTAGCGAAGTACATTTTTACAACGATCGTCTACAGTAGGTCGAGGAGCTTTTTACCTGGTAGTAAGAGACGACCAGTACTTCCTTGCGGAAATTATGGTACTCGATCGATCTGAATCTGTTCGAGAACCGGTCCTTGGCTCGCGAGAAACTTCCTATGCTAAACAACGGCACGAAAGTTTGATTGCTTGCATTCCAAACAATGCCGCTGATCGCGCGACAAATGTCGATCGCGTTGAGTAACGACAGCCAGACAAAGGGCGACATTTTTACGACGCGCGTGACGAGAGTAAACTGAATCAATTTCGCCGGCGCGACGAAGCTAAAAGCTTCATTTTTATCGTTATCTGATTTGTCATTAATTTGAATAGTGCGGCATTGCGTCAGACGTCTCTTTTCAGCTTGGGAAATTGATTTCAGCGCTCGAGCGCCTGGATGTCGCGCTTGTGCTCCGAATAGAATCGGAGACGATTAATATAGAACGATAAGAGAAAAGAAAGCGCGATTGATTATATAAATAGAAGGTTAAATTTGAGGACTGCACTTTTTACGGACAGATAGTCGGCAGCGAGATTAGAAAATTTCGGTTTGTGACTTGTGACGAGGGGAAAGAGAACGAGTTCTAAGTATTTTTAGCATCGCAGCGTCTGATCTGCATGAGAATGGGGAGCTAAAAGATCAACAAAATGTTTCGCTGGGTTTCTCCTGGTCCTTGAGACTCGACAATTCTCCAAGAGGAGTGTCTCTGAACACTTATTTCTATTTTTCATAAAATAACGCTTTTTTTTCAGGTTTGAATAGATGACGTTTATTATCAAATAAATCCTAGCTTTTCAAAACGCTCATCTACAAAAAACACGACGATTTACAGAAATAAAAAAATCAAGCTCACCATTTCGAATCGTGACAATAAGTCTTCGTTATCGCAGTTACAAAGTCAAGTATGTACAAAAGAAAAAAAAAGTAAAAGTGCACGACGTTGACAAATTAGTTATTGTAGACACCAAGAAAATGATTACAGTTCGGGCAAGTGTGCTTTTTTGCTTGGCAGCTATCGATACAGTAAACGCACGGCGCACAAGGCCAGCAGCTGGAAAAAAAAACACACAAAGGATATTATTCATTTTTTTTATTCGAAGCTTTAGTCGGAAAGAGACGATATTAGGTAAACTATGTGCGCGATTTGATAACGACATTAGCATTCTATTGACGCATAGATTCATTATCGAAAGAAAGTTTGAATCTAGATAATATCTAATCTTCTTCTTTATTTATCAACTGCATGTTTTTTAGGTCAGCATTATTTCTAATTATAGCGATCGAGAAAGCCTTTTAAAATTAATTTAACGATGTGTATCGCGATAGAATATCGCGTAAAATGAATCGATCGAAATTAACGATGGCTTTTAATAAGAAGGCACGCGCGAATCAATATTTGCCCGGTGAGTCAACGTTCGATTCGACGAACAAGATGTACCGAGGTGGATCGAATTTATTGACATGTTTCCAAAGGCCTAAGGCAAGCTCGAAACAAAAATATGGAGGAATGAATAGTCCAATTATGTATGATCCACGATGTGTGCATGTCCAATAAAAGAAAATTGACGCGTGAAAAACTCACCAAAACAGACACATTAGAAGGCACAGCAAGTGAGTCTTGGTTGTCGGTTCGGTCTCCATTCTCGTGGTAATGGTGGCGTTGCAGTAAGGGCAAGTCATGGTCATAGGTTCAGGACCAACATTCGTGCCGGTCATTATGACCACGGGCGGTTGGTGACCGTGATGCGTCATATTTTCAAAACGAAAAAATTATTTTTATTTCGACCGCGACGTCTGTACACTCTGTCGTAACACTGACGATCCACCGGCAATAGCGCTTGGCTTTATAACTTTACAACACACCTGTTCACGTCATTTGACCGTTGCTAATCTACTGTTAAGAAATTACTCATCTTCCTCTATATACGTTATCTTGGTAAGCACTGATAATATACATACTTCTTATAGGAGCGTTGTTTTATTTAGATATGTGAAATTTTGGTGTGGGGGGGGGGGGGGGGGTACTGTGAATTGTGCTCGTCTGAAATCTCTGACAGTAACGATAAAAGCGCAAATGAATAAAAAAATCAACCATTTTTTTAATTTCCATTCTCTATTTTATATTACAAGAGCTTCATCGAATACTTTGATTCAATCCACATAAAAAAAAACAAAGAAACGTCTTGTAGAGTAACATCCAAAATCTCGTCGAAGTTCTATTCGAAAACAGACAAACGAACGCGAAGCTAAATTTCTGATAGAAGGGAAGAGAAAGTGAAAACCTTTACTTACTTATTTCCCTTTAATTTCCTTAATGTCGTGTTTTATACGATTAAACTTGAGAATTTTCCGGAATTCGGGACTGCGGCAGAGATTGGCTACGCTTAGCTCGCGTGGCTGTTTTTAAGCCCTGGGGTGGTTGGGAGGAAAGTCCCTCTCTCAGCCTCTAAAACTAAGAAAGGTGCAATTTCCAGCACTTTTCTCATTGGCTTACAGTGTTTTATTCACTTCACTCGTTCGATTTTCGAGCCCTAATCAAATCAGAGGCTGGAGAAAATGTACGCGCGAGCCTAAACGTAACAGGCCTTCAATGTCAAGCAACTACAGAAAAGTGTAATACGTTGAGAAAATCACGATGCAGAATGTGCAGATAAAATTCTCTCTTTCTGTATCCCAAATAGGCCAAAAGAAAAATTTTATGATTATTCTACAAAGGACCTGTGTGTGTCGACCGAAAAGTCGCGCAGCTCGTGTTCCACCATCTCCTTTCAGCGTAACATTTTCATCTATCATTTCTATCACAGGAATAATAATAATAATGAATATGTAAATAAATTAAAATAATCAACATTATAACTTGGCATATTACTGTTCTGTCGGAGATCAGACACCCAAAAAATTGCTTCATTTATACAGCAGCGTTGTTTTGCTTAACGAACGATTTATATTTAATGCTCATCCTACGATCATTAGCAGCCGTAATCGACGTCATTGTGACTGCAGCGTAAAAAAATCATTGAATTATGCATGCTTCGCATTTTCATGTAAGGAAACCAACCGTACTGTTCTATTTAACACTTTGCATTGAATATAATGAGCCAAGCGTTTTTGCAGGGACAATCGTTAAATTATTTGATGAAAAGCAACGCACATCGAGAGAACGCAGAAAAGAAACGGATAGAAATCAGTGTTTTCTGCGAGGCGTCCTCGCCATTGTCCCAGTCGCATCAATTGCGACGGCGTCGTGTGGTCTGTACGTTCTTCTTTAATTGATCATAACTCGATAAACTTTAGCAATTAAACCCATAAGCGATATGGCATTTAATTCGTCGCTTTACGCTATTCGTTGGCATGAAATGCCGAGCAGCGCAGCAATAGATAGCATCGAAATACTTTTATTGGGTTAAAATTTCAGTATGAAAAAGTCAGCTTAATTGATTATTCCCGATAGTTGAAGGCGCTAACAATATTGACGAGAATTACCGAGAGTCGATATTTTTTCAGATAGATGTTCAAGAATAATCAACAAAAGTTTTCAATTATCAGAAATAACTCCGGCAAAGAAGTGTTTTGCCGACGCTATATCTGAAAAAGCAAATCTGAACGAAGGATCGAAAGTAATTATACGATGACTTTCCTGAAAATATCTACGTCACTGTTAATCTTCGTAATAATTGAGTTGTTTCCGAAAATTCAAGCGAAAGTTTACATGCTTTGATCTGATGTTAAAAAAGTGATAAACGTATATTGCACATTTAACAGAATTATATTAACAAGTACGTAAAAATTCTATTTTAGCGAAGAGTTTTAAAGTAACGAGGTCGAGATATAGAATGAACAATTTTACAAAACATGTCGATAAACATACATCAAAGTATGTAGCTTTGCAACCAAGATGCACAGTGCAATGAGTTTCGAGCGAAAATCATAACCGTAAATTGGTCCGTTTGCCCAACGTAAGCTGTCAATGTGATTGGGTCTTTTTAACGATCGCATCAGCCATCGTAAACTGCCAAACGATGCTGGCATATCGGACAATAGTGCTCCTTCGCCATGCAGGTTCGATCGCAGTAGACGAGAGGCGCGCATAGACAGCAACTGGAAAGAAAGAGGCACATTGTAATCTGAAAAGCTGCGTTCCACTGTGCAACGGCACGGCGTCGGGCGCGAAAGTCAGGCGACGTCGCGGATTACCCCGCGAGGCACATCAGAAGGCAAACGATGTGCGTCCTCGTGGAAGGGATGAGATTTATTTCCGAGCTGACGTACGACTGGCAGCGAGCGCAGAATAGCTCGCTGGGCCAGGGCCCGCCCGAGGAATTCACCACGATCGTCACTCTCGTTTCGCGCTCGCACTCCTCCGGACTCATCGCGGATCGCACGACACCCGTGCGCGTTCGCGTGCCGATTCGCTCGGACGGCACGCGCGCAAGCACTTCGCCGCGCGTCGATAACTCGAGTGCGAGCGGTTGCCGAGTCGCTGCCACCAGCTCCGAGCTCGCGCATGCGTGCCGACGGGATTGCGGAGGATGCGTCCGCTGAGACAAAAAGGAGAGCGAGTCCGAGCGTCGCCACCGCCTGACGTCAGCAGTGCATCTGCCGCGAGCGACGACAGCTTCGAGGCGAAACTTTCGGCTTCGCTCGAATAAAATGTTAGGCTCAAACGACGGTGCGTAACCAATACCAATGAACCAGGACCTCTGGATGAAAGGACGATTCTCATTGTTATGCAGTCCCTGCACGAAAAATTCCATCACGGCAGAGCAATAATGAAGCGGCGATGATGCTTAAGAATCTGCCTATTTGCATTCTCAATTGAGTCAGGCGCTCACACCCACTCAACGCAGATACGCACACGCACGTACGCACATAAATATATAGCTAATATACATGCTGGTAGCTCCATACACTGCTTTTTATGACAGCTATGCGATTTATTTTTAAATCTCCGTTAACGATCGCTCGAAAATGTTTGACTTGCTAGTCAGCCTTAACTCGCTACGGGAGCATTTACATTGCCAATCGCCAATTATCGCCGGAGAACCTCAAGCGTTTTGGTACACGCCGATAAGTCTACGGCAGTTCGGGCATACGTGTTCCTTCGCCATACACTCGTCGGCACAGTAAACGAAGGGCGCGCAGAACCAGCATCTGCAATACACGAGCGGTTTTAATATACTTTCTTCGTTGGTTGTGAATTTCAAAGGAAAGAAACAGCAGGCGATGGTCGTTTAACGGGAAAATGCAATTTAATGTGATTACGAGAATCCAAGACTCTCGAGGTGAAAATTTACCCGAGAAGACAAAGAAGAATGAACATGAAATGAGTACTCATGGTAGGGTGAGAAGTTATCTGAGTAGTAATGTTGGCTCTGCAGTAAGGACAAGTCATGTATACAGGGCTGGGGCCGACCAGCAGCGGATTTGGATACGCTGGATGCGCCATGACTTACAATTTTCCCTTTGCAAAGACCTTCGGATTTCGAAGCCGTCAACGAGCTGAAAAATTGTATCGGTCAGAAAAACTTGATAAGTTCTGCAAGCGAGTACCCACCGAATTGGCGGCCGCGAGGATCTTCGAACTTGGACGCCTACATAACCAGAAAACGGGCTCCCGCGACGCGTAACCAAAGAAAAAGAAGAAAAAAAAAAAGCGCGCCACCCTTCCCTTCTCTTGTTTACTTTCCAGCTTTCGCCCCTCGATCTTGCGCAGTTCGCATTTCGAACCTCAAAAATTTACGAACTGAAGGAGCCGGAAAAGCGCTTTCGTCGAGAGCGCACGCGCGAGCCGTTGTTTTCGAGTCTGTCCTCCTCGCTAGCGATTCATCGGTTGCGCCAACCGTCCATTCTCAGTTGGTTTCCGCCTCGGCATTTGCGAGCGCGAGCGAACGAATATAACGCAATATAAGGCTTGGCAACCAAAAATAAAGATAAGTTTTCATTCGTGTTCGTAAGTCATCTAGCGGCAAATGTTTCGATAGTCGAGCAAAAACTTCAGATGCAGGTACTTAATAAACATTTTTATTGCACGTTCTCTTAATCTTCTGCGTTATCCTCGGTCAAATATTTTAATATAAATAATAAATAGCCAGAATGACGTTTTTAGGTTAAAAATGAATTCTTGAAATTGCGGATCGTCTTCGTTTGAGTAGCATCGCCGCAATCCGTAATACTGAGCTCTAAAGTTACAGCAATCGTAAGATGCCGTAATCGTAGTCGAAGTCAACGGGCTCATTCGCCGGTTTATTTGTCGTACATTCCGATGAATTGATGACAATTCGGGCAGGTATGTTTCTTGGCCAGGCAACTATCGACGCAGTAGACGCAAGGCCCGCAGCAAATGCACCTGCAAAATCAACGGCAATTGACTTATGCGCGCTTATCGTTCGCAACGTAGAACGCCCTGTTGGACCTTTTGAGTCATCTTTATCAAGTCAAACGGGTTTTATCTTGCCACGACGCTCGAATAATAGCTGGCTGTTTATTGCGTAAGAAACGAAAAAGATTCTTGTCGATTCAAGAGTTCAAGTTACCGATAATTGCACATATGATGTGAAATTGACGCGACGACTGTTTATTAAAAGTCCGGAGACTTGTTGAGTTCAAACTTACCCTAAAGCACAAATTAAAATACAGAAAAGATGGGTCTTCATAGAAGGGTGATTTTCTACAATGGTGGTAATCGTTGCATGGCAATGAGGACAAGTCATCGTCGTAGGATCAGGTCCAACCTGTGGATCTTGCAGAATTATCACATTCGGATTCGCCATAACTCACCAACACTATTATCACACGGCCGTTGTATTTCAAAACCTCCAGCGAACTGTGCGAAGTATGGGTCAGAACGCCGTTTTTATAAGATTCCAACCCCGCCATCGTCTAGTTTATTAGTACCATCTGCTGATAAGGCGCTAGATAAAAAAATATATAGACGGATACAGCGCCACTGCTGAAAATAGCTGTGATTTCTCTAAAACTATTTCGCATGGATGAGTTCAGTCGCTGTTGAAAAATTTGCCGAATTGCACTAGAACCCACAATTGATCATCGTCGGAATCGTTTTGGAATTAACTTCATCGATAAAAGTCTTTTTATCCGTTCAGAATTCCGTTTTTCGTCTTCATGATCATGACGTCATTTCATCGAGTCCAATGAAATGTGTGCAGGCAGTGACAGCATCGAGGTAACTAAAAAAGAATTTCAATTTCGAACTTGGCAGCGATCTTGCAAAGTAAGTACTTTTTTTATTCTTCAATTATAAATATTATTGAAAAGGATTATCGATCGAACGAATTAATCTACTAAATTGATAAGAGGTTTTCCTACGTGCTAAATTAATATCATCAAAGAACTTGAGCAAAATAATCGAATAGCGCCTTTGCACTGTTTTTACCCGCAAGCTACAGCAAATATATTAACCAGGAAGGTTTTAGCCAAGCAAAGAATAAATTGTACACACCGCGTTCCATAGGTATATCTACACGCATATATAAAATATACCTTTATTCAAATTAACTCTTTACTCTACACTGTTCGCATAGAAGGGAAGAATATTTGCATATTCTTTTTGCAAGTATTACATAAAAATGACAAGCAACTAAGCAAGATATTTCATTTATTATTCGATACAGATTGTTCGTTGTTAAAATTACTTCCCTTTGACATTAATGTGTGTCGATAGGCGATTAAACCCGTATTATTACAACTAAAATCAATAATACCATATAAATATCGCGTTGACAGTATCACTTCAATGCGATGAATTTTACGTAAAAAAAACTTTTTTCGAAGCTTCTAAATGTATTTAAAATACATCGTGTCGATTTCATATGAAAATAATTATCCATCGTAAGTGCCTAAATAAGCTTGACATTTTGGGCAAGTATGCCTTTTGGCCAAACAACCGTCAGCACAATAGACGCATGGAGCACATGGCCAACATCTGAAAGAACAAATGAAAACGTGCTATTATTAATTAAATATACTATAGTTCTTTCATAGAAAATGGAAAAACAAAAGAAGGTCACTTTTCATATGTAAAGTAATGACGACGATCAATGAGAATTTTGAGTACTACAATAATACATTTATTAGAATGAGCTAGAAAAGTTCAATATGGTAGTTTCGAAGAAAAAGGCCGTTAAGTTTACGTCAGGCGGGTACACGTGGCGCACTTTATTTTGGGCTTGAGAGGATGCCGAAAGCCCCACACAGAATACGCAGATACTGATATTTCGGCGATTGCCATAAAACTTTCATTTTTAATCATTATTCTCGATCCAACCGAAATCTCACTAGTCCAAAATTTTTCGAGGCATAAAAGAAAAAAATGATAAAAAAGGCTAACATCCAAAGCAGGTACGTATAATTTATTTCGACCTTCTCCTCAATAAAGTTATGGTAATTCTGCGAGGTGCATGACGTAACGTCATAAAAAAAGGTGGATATATAACAAACTCACCCAAGTAGACACAACAGAAGACAAAACAAGTGAGTCTTCGGGGTCGGTTCGGTCTCGATGTCACTGGTGATTTGGTTGTGACACTGTGGGCAGGTCATTGTCACTGGGTCTGGCCCAACTGATGGTTGTCCGACGTATAGGTTAGCCATTTCTCTTATCTACAAGAGTACTCGAAAAAATCTGCAAAATTTTCTAGTGTTCTCCAAGAATTTTGAAATTATTAAATGATAATTAACACTCGCGTCGAGTATTATTTTGAAATAGTTAAAAACATATTTTGGTAAGACTATATATATTATTAGCAAACAATTTTTGAATCTTAAAATGGGTATTTATAGTTAATAAAACGTATTAATTAATAGTTTTCTTTGAGTCCGAAGAAACTATGAATTATTCGCAAATGCAAAGCAGGAAAAAAAATGAAATTGAAAGATGAGATTCGATCATACATACCAAGTTCGTCCTTGGAAACGAACAATTAGATGTGCGACCACTTGAATAAGTAATGAAATGTAATCTTGTTGAGACTCGTAAAAAATTATTATTAAAGACATTTATCGCGGTATATCAAGCTGCATAAAGCAACGAGCAATTCAATGTTAGCAATTAATAATAATGAGAAGTAACAGTTTTTTGTTTTATTTTGAAGATTCTCTTTTTTTGCCCGTGATCCTGAACAAAACTCGATCTCGCATTAAACACGCGTCAAGAGCTTTGAAAGCGTCCGTAAATCATAGAAAAAAAAAAACAAAAAAGAAAGCACAAAAATCAACGCAACCGAATCATAACGAGGAAGCAAAATATTTGCGTCGAGGCAAAAGCGTGAAAGCGGAAAACAACTGACCGAAAACTACTTGTAGCGCAGCGTGGGCGACCGTCGGCTCTCACCGTTCCCGAACACCGAGACCACCTCGCGGAAGCTTACGCGACCAAGATTTTATAATGCGGTCTAGCACCTCGGCTGCACGCTCGAATTTCGACTGACGTCGAAGTGCCACCGCGTTAGCTATTTTGTGCGCTCGGTTCGCATAAGCGCATGCGTGTCTCGTCGTAGGTGGGAATTTCTAGCTTTTACCTTGCCGGAAAACGATCGCCAATGGTCTTGGATTTTCAGCCGTCCACCCAGCCCACGCCGTCATTATTGCCGGTCGCTTATTACATCCCCGCTTTTTCGGGATAGGCGATGGCGTCATGTCAATTCAAAGCCACGCGCGTCGACTGCCTGCGTAGCTGGTCAGCGGCGCACGAGTCTTATTTCACCCTACCGTGTTTCTTTTTCTAGCGCGCGGTATGTTCGGAAGGAATTTTTTTTTCCTCCGTACTTTTCCTTATTTTGATGTGTACGCACGAAGTTTACACGCACTCTTTACATCGGTGGTCGTGTGCTTGCCTACATCTGGCATTCACCCTCAGACCAATAAAATTGTATAACTGTAAGGCGATTGAATAATTAGTAACTGAAAATCAATTGGATTTTTAGACATTTCAATAATTATCGAAATTTCAACAGCAAACGACACCTTAAAATTCATATCGAACTAATGTAATTTTCTTTTTTTTAATTGCGTTTTTTATCACAACGGACAATATCTTCGTGATTACGATCGGAGGAACATTTTTCGATGAATTATTTAGAAAATTATACGATTAACGAGTATATTTTATGAAGAATAATAGTGGATTATGATCTATATGAATACTTAGTTGGAGAGAGGACGTAAATAACCAAAATTTATTTGTGGTGGACTTTCTATTTTGCATTGTTAGGTAAAGAAAAACGTCTTACACTGTACATAAATATATTTCTTTCACAATATCTACATTTGCTAGAAGTGTCTTTTCTTGTCAACAGGAGTCCATACATACATACATACATACATACATACATATTTATTTATTCAATAAACGGATATTTCACATATAAAACAAGTCTTCAACGCGTAAGCTGAGTGAAATGCTTCAGTTATTTTATAAAAAATGATACATGTACAAAATTGCTATATATTTAGAAAATGTAGTATAATCTCTACATTACTTATAAACTTATTATAAATAATATACGACGCGTTATCTAAAGTTGGAACAATGATTAGTCAGCCGAGAAATGCAATTTTTGGTTGGAACAGTCGCTGAAATTTGACGTTCACTAAAATTCACTTAATTATTTTGCACAAATAAAAAACTCATATAAAAATGATTGATAAATGTAAAAATATGTAGATCATGAGAATCTATCCTTCGTAAACGCCTAAGAATACATTGCATTCGGGGCAAGAGTGTTTTTTGGAAAGACATCCATCCGTGCAGTATACCAACGGAGCGCAGCACCAGCAGCTTTAAACAAAGAACAGATACATCTGTTAAAAGTTAAAGTTACATTTTCGATATAAGTCTTAAAATGTCATAATTGTATCGTACGATAAGAAATTAACAAGTTTTTTGGAAAAAAAAAACAATTGAAAACGCAATTTGAATGAGAATCATCAGATATATGGCATTAATTTTGAACGAATCTCTCATGGAAAACGTATGTAAACTTAATCTTGACGTAATTTTTCAGCGATGATTCATTGATTAAATGAAAACAACTACTTATTATCTTAAGAAATGTAAATCTTATAGAAATACGACGAATGATATTGCTTACCCTATTAAACAGCAAAGAAGAAAGGCAAGATGAGTTTTTAACGAAGGTTCCGGGTCAATTACACTGGTGACAGAGGCACGGCAGTGGGGACAAATCATCGTCATAGGATCAGGACCAACTTGTGGCTGACCAACCACGAAAACAACATTTGTTGGTTGGATTGGTTCAGCTGGTAGAGTGGGCTGCAGAGACGCATACGCGGGAGGTTGATCTTGTGACGAGGAACCTACGGGTGCTGGTTGATCAGTCCGTGGTACTTGAATTTTTTCTTGTGACGGCTGTTGATCCATGATTTTTCAATTCTAAAAGGATAAGAATTATCTTATAGAGTCGGCCGATGATGAAGAAACATAAAAAATATGAGTTTTCAGATGAAAAAGCTAAAGTAAACTATCGAATTAAACATTTTAGATAGTTCCCGTAGGTCAGTGAGAAAGCTCTGCTATGTATCGCATTTCCTGCAGAAAATTCCCGTGACTGGCTACATTGCTTATTTATACTTGAAAGAGAGCAGTCTTTATCTCGCGGTACGACCGGCATATTTATAGACCATCGCTGTGCTGTACTTGAACGTCGAGTTGTACAATGCCAGCGATGCAAATTAAAATGAACTAAACTCACTTACGAGAAGTGTAAAAAAGTTGACCTTGAACTTAGGTTATTTTTAAGGACTCACTTGCGGCTTTGCCGATACGCTCTAACTAACTTTCGAATCTTGACTGGCGTTGATCTTCGTTTATCGTGAATGAGCCGACTTGTATATGTTAGTCATCTCCACGCATGCGCCCACAGACTGGGAATCCCTTTGCCGGAGGAAAGCTGCGCAAATTTCGACTTTAGGCAAGCCAATGACTTTTAAGACTGGACTCCTACCTGAGGTTCCACTGTTGCCCGCGTTGCTCTATGACGTCGGTTGCTCTACACGTGCTCGCAGAACTTTTTCGAACACCTACGTTTGGCGTTTCAACTGTATTTGTACAATAGATTGGGCAGGTCGTACTTGCAACCCACAATTTACTGCTGTCTCGTAGAACTGATACGACGCGGCAGATACTTTTTTTAGAAAAATCCGCGCGTTTTTTCAAACGTTCGCCGCGACTATGAATCTCGAATTTCTTGAATTGTCAACAGCAATCGCGGAACCGTGACTGCATTTGAAACCTAGATATCAGCGAGCGATTCAAATTCAGTGGAAATCACGCAACTCTTATAGTTTTGAAGTTTCTGTTGATATATGCTTCTTATTTTTGGAACAGCTAACGCGAGTTTTTATAACTGCTGAAATTTTGATACGTTTGTAAGTCATCAAATAGAATAATTTAAACTTTGAACTTCAGAAATTAGAGTTGCAATTATATTCATAGTTTTACGATTTACAAGTACGGCCTGCGAATTTCGTGAAAGCACGGAGAAGCTCGCGAAAAACGTAGACGACGAATGATTGATTGAAAGTCATAACTTTTGTGAAAATATTTGCATATTATTTTAGCTCAAGTTACACCGTAAAAAGCGGACGATCGCCTATTGCGTATCAAAGGTTCGGTCATTGTATTGGGCATCAACACTTTTAGTGATGAACAAATAAAAAGAAAAAGCTCGCAAACGGTAGCTGCGCGATATCAACGTTTTAAAACACCATTAGTTAATTGACAAATCGAGTTTACGATTGTCAAAAATACATTGATGTTTTTACATTATCGAAGTATCATTAACAATCAGGTAATAACAGGAAAAGTAGAACCGTGTTCTCTGTAAGTAAATGAAAACGCGAACTAATAAATAAGTTGGAATAAACTTTGTCGCAAAGTGTAATGATGTTTATCTTAAAGTGATGTACTGAAGCGCGCTCACTTGAGTTCGTTAAAGCGATCGACATGATGCTCGAATTTTTACTGGCATCAGCTCTCGCGTAATGAATTCGTATATTGGCCTCTTATACGATTACTTTAATAGATTGACAATTTTTTCAACGGAGATATAGCTCATCTCTCTTTAGTACGATCAATTACTTTAGATGGGTTTTCACGTAAGATTCTATTTACCTCGTTCGATTAATTGTTGTACTTTATCCTGCATAGGACGAGTTTCTTACTTTTTTGTTTGCAAGTAAAGTGAAAGCTGCTATTTAAAACTACTGCTGCGGCAGGTCAATTGTTTTTTTATCGATAGCAATAAAATTGGAATGAATGGCGCGCATGAGCTCGCTATCCTTTGATTTGTGAGAAAATTCACGTATTTGTATATGTCAGCTTCAAATAGACATTCCTTTCTTTAGCACACGATCCAGAGTATGTAGTATTGAAAAGTGGCATTTTTTTGATGTCCACTGTATCCACGAATTCCAAACGTATTCAATGTGTAATAGCAAACGCGAATGCGAAGACTGATTAAGACGTGAAGATTAACGAATAAATAATTCCGTGGAAATTACATAAATCTTACGAATACGAAAATGAAGTTTAGAAAATAGTTACAAGTAATAAAATATTATTTTTATCGTGAGCGACAATGTGTACCATTTACAAAACCATTAGTAAGCCCGTTGGATATACTCCTCTTCTCTGTAGATGTGTGACTTTAACATGAAGAAAACAAAAATTTTTTTTCATATATTTATCATTCTCGTGAGTGTAGTTAAGGAAGATGCTATATGTGAAAGCACGAAAGATGAATGGTGCAGGGTAATAAAAAATTATCATGTGCGTACACGTCGTTATGTACGTGCGCAGAAAACCAGCTAACTAGTGATTAGAGTCTATACATCCGTCGTTGGTGCAAATACGTTGGGAAAACAATGGAGACGAGCTTGTGATTGTCTCTCTAGAGGTTTAGGCAAATTTAACGCTTCGCGGAATTCATTTTGCACGTATTTTTTTTTTTTTTTGTTCTTTTAGCTTTTAGCAATTTTCGAATTTTCGACCAAAAGGGTAAGTGACCTGTTACAGTCCATTTAACAATTATCTTACTTTAGCTAGTCACGATAAATACAAGATGCAAGTCAAATCTATGTAGCTGCGTTTTTCTTATTATTGCAATATCATGTACAACAGATAAACTGTAATATAAAAATTCACGTTATGAGGTAACAAGGCAAATAAATAAATACATTTTCATATTATGACAGATGTGTTTATTTTCACAGGCATGGGAAATGCGTTTGAATAAAAAATTGAAAAAAATAAATGCATATTTCTAATGTATGGCATTTTCAAATTTTCAAACTGTCAGCGTTTGAGCAACAAAACGCTTTCAAAATAATTCACGTATAAAAAAAATAATTCACATATAAAATAAATTACTTTGACACAAAATATAATTAAAGTAAATTACTTACGAAATCACACAGACTTTCAAAATATGGGAATATTTAAGAGTTTGAAGTAGTTTAATTAATAAAGTACATGGCAAAATAAAAAATTCCTGTACATTAACGCGAGATTAGACATTTTCACACGTTATTAATGACTTTACCTTTCCAATACTCATAATGCTATTTTGCTTACACAAATGCAGTTAACGTTTACTTAGAAAACGTAAGCCAAGATATGGATTGGTACGGTTTCAGAGATAAAAACATCGAGAAACCCAGCACTTTGCAAGTTGAAAATTCGCACATGGTGTCTAACTCACGTAATGGAGGAGTAAGAATATGGATATCGTAAAAATTGAAGTTTACAGGTTCACTTATAGTTATTTCGGTGAAAGTTTTGCGTTCCATCTTACTTGTTGCAATAATTTGAAAGTAATGGGAGGGAAGCCGACGATGGTGCGCAGCGAGACTTTATACGGCGCGCAGCGTACAATCGCAGCATCATTTGTGCAACGGAAACGAAGACGAGTGGAAAACGCACGCGGCGGAGGTTTACTTGTCGTAGACGCCCAACAAATAATTGCAGGTGGGGCAAGTGTGCTTCTTGGCGAGGCAGCTGCTGGTGCAGTAGACGAAGGGCGCGCAGCAGCAGCAGCTACGAAACGGGCAAGAGAAAAATAATTTCCTATAGAGCTGTCGCTTGAAGGGAATGGTGTCGGGGAGCAAAATAATCTCGATGCTCGGAGTCTGCGTGCTTGCTGAGCGCGGAAACGAGCCAACGACTGACGACGGTGAAACTCGTAATAAACTTCTATATTTACTGATTTGAATACGAGTATTGTCGTAAGTTCGCGAGGATATTTTTAACCAACATAGCTTGAGCTACGCGAACTGGACTTGACCTTCGGAATACGCACGGCGTGTGCCAACTGAAAATTTCATGATTCTCGATTACGAGGCACCCAAAAAATCTCAGTAAGCTCATTAATTCAGCGGCAAAAAAAAGAGATTAAAAGCAATGGCTAGACGTGAGATTAGAATTCATACGCGAGCACTAAAAATCGGAACTAAAAGGTCTTCATCCGAATGAATCATTGGCTTCAATTCAATCGTCCTTGAATTATTCACGCGTGCTGAGAACATAACTTACCCAAGCGCACACAGCAGAATGAAGAATAGATGAGTTTTCATAGAAGTCCTCTTCTCAACGCGAGAAGTGATCGTGGTATTGCAGTGAGGGCAAGTCGTCACAACCGGATCAGGACCGACTTGTGGTTGAGGTAGCATCGTGTAAAGGACGTTTGTCGCTTGACTTGGTTGATCCGGTGCCGTTGGCATGGGCGTTTTTTTTTGGTTCATGGCCGAGATCTGAAACAGCGTCGATCGCAGCCTACCGTTACCGATATACCTGTGTAACGATCGCCTGATCCCGAATGAAATTGCAATATCAGTCGGGGAATAAAGGTATGCACCGTTGAATCACTGCTCGTGGGCATGCGCAGAGAGTCGACCGAGGTAGCAGCAATCACTTCCTCCCGACAAATCAGCAAGAAAAATTAGCCGAGTGAACGTGCGATTGGCATTGGCGCAGCTGAATTCGATTTCGGGTAGACCGAATGACGATGCGTTATCGAAAATCGAAAAAAAGTAAATTGGCCCGGGAAGCGTCGACGGGCATACTAATCGCGTTTCATTAAATTACAGTCGACTGGCCGGCCCGCGCGTTAGAATCAAAGAGGGGGATCCCCGTGGTGCTTTGATTTCGAGTCGAGCACGGACACGCGAAAACTCGGACGAACTCACTTGCGAGAGGTAATTCAAGGGTTGAGCTTGAACTTTGGCACTTGCGTGCTCGAGCACTCACTGATCGGCCTGGCGTTCGAATCTAAACTGCACGTTGCCGCTGCTCAGCGTTTATATACTATAGAAGCTCACTGACATACGCGCATCTTGACGCATGCGCCGATAGGTCGGCAGCTTCTCCGTATAGCCTCAGGCGAGAATCTTACCACCACGGTCTACCCGATACGTTTCAACGGTGTCCTTTGTTTTCTTCTCTTCAACGTCCTAGAACCGCGGACTTTTCTTGCGCGCTTACATTACTGAGATTCGTGGCGAGATCCTGATAATTAAAGAAAGTAATTATTGTGACGGGCAATAATAACCAATCAATTTTTCTTTTTAATCAAGAACAAAGATCTTTATTGAACACATCGTCGAGTGTTAACATAGCTATACTCACGGCAATCATTTAGGTGTGCATTTAGTTAGAAATAAGACTGCGTTTGAACAAAAATCATTGATTGTCACCTAAACGATGATTGCAGTTGGGACAATCGGGTACTTTTGGCCAAGCAGCTGAACAACAACCAAGGATGCGAGCGATTGTCCCGGCAATTGGCGTCGTTGAAAACGCTACCCATTTCGGTGCTCCCAGGCACTCGGCATTTCGCTATTTCGCACTTGCTCTTTGTTTTTGCACGTGTGTGGGCTCGCGTGGCCACACGTGCTAGCCGAGAGATGCCAACGCGTCGAGCGATAATCCAGTGACGGTGGTTTTTCGAGGCGAAAGATCAACGGCAGCGCCCGTCTCGCGGAGAGGCACGTCCGAATTTGAATAAAGCCAAAACATGGAGGACTTCCCGTTCTCGTATCGCTTGGCGATCAGACACGAGCGTTCAACAATCTATACCGCTGAAAATAATATTCTACACTCCAGCTCGAAACGCAATGTTCGTTCGCGGTCGTTTTCAATGCGTCACTGCGTCGACATAAAGGGTCGTTGAGACGTTGGGACAGTGCGACCCCGGCGATGTGTACTCTTGATATACTCTTGATATGGAGATTTACGTTAGCGGGTTTGCTTGCGAAAGTAAAGGACAAATCGGATGCACTTATTTTTACTTTTCGACAGCGATCGAACTGACATTTCGTCGGCGCTATTTATCCTATCACAGCGCCAGACCGCTAGAATTGGCGATCATGCGATTGTGGGCTCGTGCTGGAGTTCGGGATAAGTTTATAGGGAGTCTGTGCGCATCGTGCGCATGCTTTGTAAGTTCTTGTAATTTAAATTAACTCTTCCATTTACTCCTTATTGCATACACCAACCACACAGCAATCCCTCGTAATGATTTTGAAAGTAGTTTGCACCCCAGTAAAACGAGGTCACGAACCGAGGTGCCGAGGGTGAAGTACGTCATACTCTGTTCCTTCTGCGCTGATATTGTCTGCAGTGACTGTTACCCGGCGTAAATTCATTGAAACCCCATCTCTTCCGCAAGATGTTATGGCAAGTTTTCCAATCGCCCCTGCTGCTTCGACAAGCCATATCCAGCCCATTTGCGAAGCGAACTTCGCGAGAGCGAATTGTGATAGCTTTTGTAAACGTTGCCGGAGCATTGAAACTTGAATCTTGCAATGTGGAAAGGAAACGAAAGCAGGAATTGAGCGTTATATTTCTTTATAAACTTTATTATCGTGTTCATATTATTTCATTATGACGAATATTGTTTCATTTTGGAAACAAATTGACAATGGCAGTTTTATTATAATACGTAATAAGTGACGCGGAAGTGCTGTCAACATGGTTGACACGATACATTGATAACTATTTAACATGGGAAATTGCTTTCAATGTTGAATTATAATCGTAACAAGCATGCGCTTGTTATTGTTGTCGTCAAAAATCATTATAAAAGCTGGCACAAATGTTACGTCAACACTTAACATGTATGTCGCAATAATTTAATACTTTTCTCAATATCGCAACGTTAAATGCAATTACACGGTATCCTTTGGTAGAATCGACACACTTATGCACACGTACAAATCGTTGAAACTGCTTACGCGGATGAGTATCCCCGCAAATGCATCAACGAACCGATAAATTACACCCACTTACACCGAATGCGAGGAGATGAGTCTTCTTCGTGGCTTCCAGCTTCGCTTTGCTGATAGCTTCAGTGTGACTCTGCGTACCGGTAATTGGACGAAATACCGACTTCTCCGGTGCTGCGTTCGCGTATGGTTTGTTCGGTGTTCTTCTTGCCTTGTTTCACTGGTAAGTTTGCCCAAAATCTCGTCGATGCTCCTGCGTCGAAGCCGCGAGAGACGGAACATACGGTTGTCCACCGAAAGTGCGAGGCCGAGAAATGACGCTCGCGCGTACGCGAGTCGCCCTCCCCGCTAATTTACGATTGAGCACTCGCTCGCGCGTCCGTCGACCGTGTGGCCTCCCTTTTCAACGAAAGCGAGCGACCGCGCCAACCCCTCCGGGACTCCTCGCCTCGTATACTCGTGCGTTTCCTTGCCGCGCGCGCGTCGCCGTTCTTCTTTCGCGAAGCCGAGAACAGCAACCGGCGCGCGCGTACGGCTTTCGCGTCCTCGCGAGGTGGCGCATCTTTCGATAGCATTTATGTAGCTTGAAAGGGCTTCGCTCCACGTCCAGGATGAAGGGTAATGCTGCTGAACCACTTCGATTCGTATTTTATTGCGATTTTACATATTTCTAATTTGAACGTTTAATGCGAATTGGACTAAAATTGCGTCGAGTTTCGAAAAACTCGGTCTACAACGTTGAACTTCATGGTGGTAATTTTAAGATACACCATGCGCGATATTCAGTTGTACAAGTAAAAACGTCTTTAGCGGAAATAAAATTAAAAAAAAAAGTTAAAAAAATTCACAAAAACACGGCGCAACAAGAGGCAGCGTCGGCTCACGTAATATACAATTATGCACGTATTCGTAATATTTATCACGCACGGAAATACTTATTTGACTCTTTTTGTTTTGGCATTAAGAATACAAGTAACGGCAAAACAAATGGCGAGACGCAAAGGGACGCGCGACGTTACGCTTCCTTGTCGTTTAATCATCGAACATGCCTAAAAACTTGTGGCAGTTGGGGCAAGTGTGTTTCTTGGCCAAGCAGCTATCGGAGCAGTAGACGAACGGCGCGCACAAGGCGAAGCTGCAAATGATCGAAGAAAAGAAGAGAAAAAAATAAGAATCACGGCGATCGTCCCAATTCGAAGGCCGTGTGCATGCGCGAGATCCTTGAGTTGCTTGGAAGAGACCAAATTCTTCGAGGGGGTGTCGCGAATAAGCGCGCTTCCGCCAATTCCGACACGCAACAACGACGTACTCGAAGCTACGCGGGCAAGACACTTACCAAAAGTCGTCGCGAAGTTGGCGAAAATCAATTGTAAATGCACGGCCTATTCACACTCCTAGTGAGAAAGGACAACTCACCCGAAGAAACACATAATACAGAAAATCATGTGAGTCTTATTCGAGGCCAAATTCTGGATCGCAGTCGTTATGTTGGTTCGGCAATAAGGACATGTCATCGCCGTGGGACCTGGACCGACTGTCGAGTGCAGCGCCGGATTCGGAAACATGACTGTGAACCTAGAAGCATAATTTTCGCTGACGTCAGTTCTATGGACTGCGAGCGATTCGACGAGCGAGAGGCTTGTCACGCAGGAAATAATCGATGGGAGATAGGAAAGGAGGAAGTAAGAGAGCTGCGCCATGGCTATGCGGCTCTGACGAATTGAGGCCAGAGATGTGTACACTTCGGTTTTCCTGGACGTTTCGCAGGCCGAGGGGGGCGCTCGATTGGAAGACTCTCTTTATTCAAACTCGTTGCTGTCAAATGAAACTAACGAGTGTGCGCATAGTTTTCTGCTCGGGAAAATTGGACGACTCGCTACGCGGCTACGAAACGTTCCTCGGAGGGCAGCGAACCTCGTAAACTGTCCGATCCAACGCGGCTTTTTACGGCCATTTTAGCCCGGGCGATCTACGCGAGTATCGTTGTAGCTCAAAAAGAAAAAATAATAAAAACGTTCGAATAAATAGCAACGTACAAAGATCGTGCACTTACGAAAGCTGTGCGATTCCTCTCGAAAGCGGTAAAAATAAATCTGCCCTGTGTTGGCGAAATCGCGGGTAGAGTCCGACTGCCCGCGCCTCGCGCTCGCGACAGCTTACAAGTTCGGCGATCGGCCAGATGACCTCCGCTTAGTTTAGCTTAGTTTACTAGATGGCGATGGCTCTTTACCTGAGATGCCGATATACACTGGCGCGATTTTAGTAGTGTGTTACGGTGGAGGGGGTCGGGCTACCTTTACCCAGACGCTCGGTTGCTTCTGTGAAAGGAGGGGCTAACCACCCCATACTAGCCAGAGGGTGCCAACTCGGATACTGGACCTGCGGCTCCAGATGAAATTCGAACCAGCAGGGTCGACTTGGTACAAGCACTTTTTTTAGATAAAGCCTTTGGTGCCCGCCGCAAATCAAACTATGGATACCTGCACGGGATGAACTCTGCTTTCGTTTTCGTTTAATCGGATGGCGGTGAATCTCAAACCGAGACGCCAACAAGCCAACACGCATGCGTGATTTAAAACTGACGAAAGTTCAGGAACAAACAAAACAAAAGGTCGATAGCTCTCTGCCGTTAGCGGAACACGGGGGAAAAAATGCCCGACTACGCGCGCACGCCCGCTAGATGGATACGCTCGCGCGATAGGATGACGAGCTGCGCGTTTCGTTTGGTGCAAGTTTTCGCGAACGAGCGAAATGCTTGCGCGCGTTCTCGGACGCCGAGAGGCGTGGCACGGCGCGATACTTACGGTGCATTTCGAAGAAAAAAAACATGGCCGCGGCCGAGATTACGCTGAATTCGTCCTTTTCCCCGGCGATACGTTAGTTTTAACGGAGGAGTATGACATTCGCATAGCCGCGGCGGGCGCTTAGCGAGATGACGCGAGGGTGTGTCTCAAGATACTTCTGGCGGGGCGAGAGAGACGAAGATCCAGTCTGCGCGGCAATCGGATGCTGGAATTCCGAGATACGCGCGCTATCGCTTCGGCAATCCCAGCGAATTGGACAGGCGCTAATTTGACGAATGAAAAAATTCGATTTTCGCGCATTTTTTGTTCGCCGGTACGAACGAACAGTCCGCGGCATCTGTATTGGTGATTTTTACGTGCCTTGGGCGAGCCAATTAGCGTCAATACGGTGAGGGGAGGATGTTTGTAGCGTGGGACAGCATAACGCCGAGGCAACGAGCTGCGCTCGCTCGCGCGTGTATACCTATTTACCAATTGAGCGTCCTCTGCACGCAACTCGAATACGCCCGCCTAGATTATAAACAGTGTATATATATATATATATATATATATACCCGTCTTTCAAAGGCTAATTAATACTCAATAGATTTTAGATTGTTATCGTGAACGCCCATTAAAAATAGAATGATGGAAGTGGGTACATTGATGATTGAATTAACAAACACATGTACGTTTAAAATAAATAAATTTATTTTCGCAAAACCTATAAATATTCAATCCTTGGAATAGAGTTCAATAAGACTCATAGTCGTATATCTTTTTTTGTTCACAAAAAGACAATAATGACCATTTAACGGTGCACTTCTTAGAAAGTACAAACATTTAATGCTCTTGCAATTCAACAATCAAGGGAACACTTATTGTTAGATATACTTAGTTTTTTTTCGTTCAAGTAAAATCTAAAACGTAACTGTATATAAAACTAGAGCATTATATAAAACTGTGCATATCGCAATAGAAAAAAAAATGGATGGCCATCTCTCACGTTGACATACGTAGAAACAATAATGAAAATTACAATGAAAGCATGTAATTGAATATATTTTTTAGAAAAGATAGAACTTTGTGCATATCAGTAAACAGCAAACTTTCTTGGAGTTTTTTGTTTGAATATCACGCTTAGAAATCTGAAGGAAAGGAAAAGAAATGCTGCCTAAGAAATTCGATTGGCGCAGCTCAAACTTGATTTGCGACTAGCCGTCATAAACGCCGAGGAACTTGTGACAATTCGGGCAATAATGCTTCTTAGCCATACAGCTGTCGGCACAGTAGACGCACGGAGCACATGGCCAGCAACTGGAACAACACAAACACACATGCGTTTCGAATGATGTCATTATTTCATTAATTGAGATTATTTGCAATAATTGGACGGCAATCGGTGTGCTAAGAGATTAATCATCGAAAAGATAATTCGTTCGGCTGTACATTAACGAACAACTTTATTGAAGCTTTGAAAATTTAGGCTTTTCAAAGATCCAATTGGACGTGCTTGTAACTTTCTATTAAACTCGACTATAATCTAAACTTCCGATATTATATGTGACAAAGAATGAAGAAGAAAAATAACTATATCACAATGTTTCGCGATTTGTATCAGCAAACAACTTCAATAAAATTCGATTGAATTTCAATAAGTCGATCGTGCAAACTTTATCTCTTGATCACGAATAAATGAAAGTAACAATATAACGTATCTAATTTACCCAATTAAACAAAGAAGCAGGAAGAAAAGATGAGTTTTGGTCGAAGCCTCAGTTTCCATATTCGTAGTGATAGTCGACTGGCAGTACGGGCAGGTCATCGTCGTTGGATCTGGTCCAACTTGTGGACTCGTCATGATGACAACGTTTGGGCCTGAATTCGACATGATTATCAATCAATTAGCTACACAAGTGCACTTCGAACGCTGCGAACGAGTAAATATTTCTTTCTCCATCGACGTCAAGTATTTGTCGATTGAAGGTTGTGGAGAATAACAAAGAAATGAATATTAGTACAGACAGCGGCACTCAGCTGTGTGATACAAGCGGTGCGTTAGGCAAAAAATTAATTCACAGCAAACAAAACAGTCGTCGGTTAAGCGTTGCAATGAACGCGAAGAGTCGCAATTTTCATTTATTTATTTAAAAATAGATTTGACGCCAGTACAATGTACCGTTTCCACTTGGTGAGATCTATCATCGCGCTGATAACGACGATACTAATGTCGTGAATTTTCCGCGACCGGACGCGAAAGAAAAGAAGCTTTCCCGAGAAAAGCTCGTCGCTTGTATCACTCGCCGTCGTCCGCGTAGCCTTCGCTTTTTCTTTATTTATTTATTTATTTTTTCCCGAGCACATAGATTATGACACATCACCTTGTGGCTGCGGCGGAGGCGCATGTGGACTGTACGGAGGCGGCGGCACAAAGCCTGGAGGTGGTGGTCCGTTTTTGTACATCGCTTATCTGCAACATCATCGCACGTTCTGCGTTCGCTGTCGTCCCCTTGCGAATCGAGCGAGCGCTATCTCCCGTCGGAGTCTTCCGGTCGTCCGTCCCAAAGTCAAGGTCGCTCTTTTAGCGCGCTCCCGCGGAGTGACGCCCGGCCTCGCGCGCTTTTCGCCATACTCTCGAAGCGCGAGTCACGACGCGTAGGTCGTCCCGACGCAGGCGCAGCGCGAGGATATATTTTTTCCCCGCTCGCGTTGCCGTACGTTGTTTTTCGGAGCGGCTTTATCTCTCGCGACAGACCGCTGACTTACGTAAGCGCGCGCGTATGCTCATCGTCGTGGCAACTCACTACACGTCCCTTGCCAATCGATGCGCGAAATTTGTTTTTGTTTTCTTTTTGGAAATTGTCCAGACGCGTCTTTTTATCGTGTTCTTCATCTTCTTTTGTTTTTAATTGTTTATTTATTTATTTTCATTTCTAAATAATTATCCGTTCGTCTTTTGGCCATCGACGCTGCGATCAACTGCGCTTCAAGTCTGCTCGACGGTAAAATTTCGCCAAAAGCACGCACAGTGCTTCCCTTGTACCACGGAGATTCGTTGAACTCGTGGGCAACGCGAGAACGTCGGGATCGCTTCAACCCAGAGGTCCATCGGACGCCGTGTCAGCGCGCACGGATCGCCGAGTTCTCCCATCGATTTTCATGGCTCCCCCCCCCCCCCCCCTCCCTCTGTCTTCGTGGCCGCGAATGTAGGTTGGAAACATTAAAGATTGCGGCTTCCCCGTCGAATTACCAAACCGAAGCGCCCCGCCGCTACTACCGTAACTCATCGGGCGTAGAGAAATAGAGAGAGAGAGAGAGAGAGAGAGAGAGAGAGAGAGAGAGAGAGAGAGAGAGAGAGAGAGAGAGAGAGAGAGAGAGAGGTGTGGCAGAGCCATTCAATCGATTTGCCACGCAACTCACATGCGTGCCTCTCGTTCCTTTAAAAGCTCACTCCTTTCGTCGACCCTCGCGGACGGCGGCATCGACTTTCCTGCCGATTTCCACGATTCGTTCTCGCCGAGATGGTGGCGGCGTACGCGCTAACGACGCTCGCGACGCTCAATCGAGCATCAATTATTGCACGTACGCAAGCACGTGCTCGCCAAAACGGCCTTGGCTTTTTCAAAGACAACGCGCGGCTCGCGTTCACCGTGACCACCGACGATCACTCGTTTTCTATCGTTACGTCTCTTCCATCGCTCGCGTCGCGCCGATAAAGCCGCCGCAGAGAGGTTTCCCATCGGTGGCCCACGGCAAGTATTTCGAATCGACGACAATTACACGCTACACCGTCGGAGGTGCAGGACACAAAAACGAGGAAACGAGCAACGTGACGCCCCGTGCGCAGAGTCAACACTCCGCTGCTACCCGTCGCTTCGACGAGTGCCGAGCTCGCGTTGCAAGACGCCTTTGTAATCAGCTACTCGACTGTCCGAAGCCATTAGCTCGATTGACGCTAATATTTTCAATTCAATTACGATCGAGCGTTGATCCGATTGAAAAGAAAAAAAAAAAAACGAACGAAAAAGAAAATGTTGACATTCCATCGCCGCGCGTATCGTCCTTTGCGTCCCGTCAACTCGGCGCGCAAGTCTATCGATTCGCCGCGTTCGTCCCGATTTTGCGCGCCGCGCGGAGCCAAACTTCGTGGCGCCGTGCGTCTCCGTCCTTGCGCACGCACGCAAGCTTATGCATACGTCAATCGAGCGCGAGAACAGAGAACGGCTCTTCCGGCTCTCCAAACTCTCCGCGCTTCTACGCGTGTGCGTGTGCCGGGTGCGTGTGCACCCGACGCGCCTCGCGTATATCTATCGAAATAGAATTTGTGATTAAACGGCGCGATCGTTTGCCGGAAATTTTCTTGCGCAAATGGAGATGAAGAATTAGTCGGCGGCGCACCGCCACAAAACGATCAATCCAAATGTTAAGGGCAGCACAAGCACACGCTCGAACGGCAAGCTCTACATATGCGTGTTATCGGCAATTCACCCGATCGTCAAACCGAGTGGCGTCGTAGTATGGAATTATCAGCGTCGAACCGTACGACTTGCGGCTGACATTGAACGATTGAATTTTTATGTACACGCATGCAGATTCCCAACACGGTCTTAGCGATTGTCGCAACGCGCAGCACTTATACCAGCCGCGAAAAAACCCAATGCCCGAAAGCCAACGGGTCGACGTTGGTCTTCCCTTGAGTGCATGTGGGATGCGACGATGCGTGTGCTCACCCGTACTTCAGTCGAATTCCAGTTTTTCGATTTTGCGATCCTCAAAGCGAATCTCCACGACGGCTTCATCGCGTATTGCAACGCACATGTACCACTCCCCGTTCGCGGTTAGATAACGGATGTGTAGCACACGGCAACATCGGCAAATTCTTGTGCGACGCGAAAAAAAAGAAACTTTCCACTGCACAGTCACGCACAAAGAGAGCGAGAGAGATTGGCATCACCGAGTTATATATAAACACGAGGGACGCACTTTTTGCGCGTCGAGTGGCACTTTCTCGCGACTTGAATCGCCAATACGGAGCTTGCAAACTACAGCGAAGAATACTCACAGCCTCATCTTTCTCGGGTGAGATCTCTTACCTGTTGCTTGCTCGCGTTGACGAAAATGGCGTACGATTGTGCGCACGCAGTGACACTTGGCACTCGACTGAGCTGCCTAACGTATGGTTGCTGGCTGCGCTCGCTGGTGAGTATGCCGAGAAGCACAACTGTATACTGAAATTGGTGGGGAGAGCGCAACATTATCGCCGTTGTGAGCATTCACGCCTCGCACAGTTGTACGTCGTTTTGCATTGGTTTGTTTGTTTTTTTTTTTTTTTTTTGAAAAATCGAGGTATTTTTTCCTAGATTGAGAGATGAAAATCGCCGAGCGTTTTCTTACAATTTTCGAAATGCTTGTTGAAATGGGTGTTACACATTTGCTATTCGTTATCTTTATTAAAATTGCAATGAGTCATTGCGCTAGAAATGAGTGAATTACAGACTCAGCGTCGTATTTCTTTTTTCTTTGTGGATGACAGGGCGATGACTGCTGGACGTTGCACCGATTACGTCAACGTCTGCCTTATAATTCTAGCTTCGCATGATGCAAAAAGCACTTCTTCTTACTTAGGCGCTCGTCGAAGGCTGCTCAGAAAGTTGCTCCTGCCGAGGTACTTGTCGCAGTGATCGCAATAGTGCTTGTGCACGAGGCAGCTGTCGGAGCAATAGACGCACGGGATGCACGGCCATAAGCTGTCGAACAGAACGGCTTTCATTATGTAAAGTGTACGTTTATATTGCACAAGTGACATGTATCACCAGGTGAGGAACAGCAGCGCGGCTGTCAGGTGTGTTCTGATAGTTGGATGAATTTCCATGCGAGTTGTCATCTGACCTCGACAGTATGGGCATTTCATCGTTTGAGGGTAGGGGCCGAAAGGGAAATTCCGTTGGGCTATTATGGCATCCGCATCTGCGGAGTAATTACCCAATTTGAAGCGACATTCGAAAAATATTTGACAATTGTTTTTTATTTTACCCACATAACATTGATTATTGTAATGTAAGATAAAATGACAATGCAACACGTCCTAAAAACCTGGCACAAATATAGCAGAAATGTTTCAGAAATAATTTATAAATATTTTAATGAAATTTTTTGTAATGTTACAAAATATCGCAATAATCTTTCACTGAAATACCTATCAACTTTAAAAATATTTCATAAAAGCTTTGTAAAAACCTTGTAGTAACATCGGAAAAATTATTTCATGAAAGATTTTTGAAATATTATCACAATTTTAGAAAAGATGTGTGGAAAATTACTTGAAAATGTTCATTGATATTAAATTAGTATGTGCATTGAATTGAGTAGCATCGCGAAAGAAAAAAAAGAGAGCACAAAAGGGTATTAAAAAAACAAATAAATAAGAAAAATGAAAATAAAAGTGCGTCTTGCACCAAGGTAGTGGTGAGAAAGCCTAAAAGCCCGAGAAGAATGTATGAAGAACAGAAAAGTAAATATAAAATAGAATATTGAAGGAAAAGCTGCTAAAAAGTTTTGTTGAAATATATAAGATAAATTTTGAAAGGTCCAACAGCAACCTTCCCTATAACACTTCTGCAGCTTAAACACGGTCGTATAAATATTTCAAAAATATTTCAATGAAGTTATAAAAATATTTTGAACTCTAAATGAAATATTGTTGAAACGTTGCAGCCAAATTCCTTGTTATGAGGATTATTATTTTAATGCTACATTACATTTATCATCGCTAAGTAAGCTCAGTTTGAAACCGACGCAAAGAAGCTTTTTTGTTCTTTTGTCAAAATAGCAGGTGCGTGTTATGTTATTTTATTTTCCACCGATTACTTACCTTCGTGATTTTCAGTGTTACGCTCTTGTGATTTTGTGTCCTTCTTCCAACTTTTTTTAGCAGTTGGTCTTTCTTGTAACTCCATTTTTTTTCGTACGCGGCGCTAGCACTTCTATTTTACTTTATTTTAGTCAGAACAATCTCGATCTTTTCTTATTAAAAGAAACGTAAACTGCTTGAATTTGACAGGTTTTCTTATTCTTTTTTATTAAAACTAAGACAAGCTTATGTCTGTCCACTACAAGTATTCGATAGAAAATACTGTCTTCCCTTAGCTGTCAAACTCAGATACGATAGGCATTAGTTCTTCTTTAATGGATAAAAAGGAAATCTCCGAAGGTGGTCATTTCTACGAAATCTTATTAACTTCGTCTGTCTATATAAATGACTAAACGAATAAAAAAGTGTAACAAGAAAATGAGCACACTGTGATGTTTCGAGCATAATATATTTATTATTTTGTACAATAGTACAATGTATCATAGTTTGTCATACATTATTTTACGCTTCTAGCGTCCATTTAGATTTCGCGAATAAATAATAAATAAAGATCTACAATGAGTCGCACGGTAGTACGTGCCATGCTTGGCAAATTTATTTTATTTTCTCTTTCTCTTCAATTACTCTCTTTATTTCATTATTCTGTCAGGCAGAATAATATTTATTTAGCAAGTATACCTATTATATGTATAGTAGCGTCACATACAATATTAATAGAATTATATACACAACGAATTGATTTCTTCTCTTTCTTCGACGTTTCTTTCTTTATTGTTTTTTCTTTATAAAAAACTAAGGACAAAGTGTCATATACTCTTTTCTCTCTTCGTAAATTTCACCCCACCTTTTTTTGTACTGCTATCCATTCGCGTTCCTAAATTAGCACGAAAGAATTTTAGGTTTTTCGTTTGTGCTCGTTAATCCTTCTTTCTCTCCGACCATTTAGTATATGTAAGTTGAAAAATATCGCTGCGCATACTAATTTCTTTCAAACTATTGTTTGTTTATATTTTTTGAAAAAAAATATAATTCAAAGGTCCTTAATTCTTCTTTCCTTGTGACTTCTAGGTTTTCAGGAGTTTTGTACGTATTGCACAAAAGCCCTTCTCATTTTATTTAGTTTAGTTTTTTTTTGCTATACATACACGCACACAGACGTACCACACACATGCGCTCGCGCACACACACGCACACGCACACACACACACACACAAAATATTTCAATTGCGATTAATTGATAAAGGAAGACTTCTATTATAGTTATCAATGGCGCTACAAGCACTCGATGTACAAAACTGCCAAACCAACTTATAATAAAAGCATGTGCGATGTTAATAAAAAAAAAAAGAAAAAATCAAGCAGTATATGTTAGTATCACTCACTTCCAGCTACATTTCTTTTGTACAATAAAAGAGGATACAATCATCTTTCGCATGATATAATTTCGAATCATAAAAGCGCTAAACTATCTAATTACACGCACACAAGCAACAATCGCAAAGAACAAAAACAATTATATAAATTAAAGATGATTATTCAATAATTGTAAATATAAGATACTCTGTATGAATTTCTCCATAAATAATATCAACATCAAATAAAAACAATCTATCGAATTAAAATGATCTTTTTAAAAAATACACGTTCCAAAAGGCAAATTTGATTTAACAATCCAAAACAACACAAACAATATAGCAAAAATCACTACAAATAATTTTTGATTGGAAAGTGACTTTATCCTCTCAGAAAATTAAAAATAATTATCATTATTACCTACTTGGTCGTACTATATTACAATAATTTTTTTTTATTGTGCCTCGGCTTCTATTCATAAATTAAGCAATTCAATGTAAGACTAGCTATCAACGAAATATATCTCGCATCCTACTACTTCGTTAGACGCAATCGTTGCACATCTTGATTTTACATTCGATACGTTAATTTGTTAGTTTTTGTTTCGTACAATGTATATTACTTCTTTATCATTTTTAGGCACCCTTCAATTATATCAATACATTCTCACGCATTTGCTTTAAAAAACTAATTAAAAACGAGTGTTACGTATAAGACGATCTTTCTGCCTGTAAATTACTTATTGTTTCAAATAACGCGTGTATATCGCGTTTTACGTGATACAGTAAAATCTTGCTTCTTAAATATTCAAAAGAAAAATTGCATCCATACTAATTTGTAATAATATCAACCATTTCTATTAAAGTAAAAATACTGTAAAAATCTTTAAAAAAATGGATTGGAAAATTAAAAAGAAATCAAATCAAGTTTTTCCCGGATTACCATTTTAGCCAAAATATTCTAGTAGTAAATGTAATCCACCTCGCAAACAAAATAGAAAAAAATTCGGTCCCTACGACATTATGTGGAATTTTTACGCTTGATTACGTTTTCAAAAATTGGTATCTAAACAACGTGGATCAGAGAGTCATTACTAATATAATATATGCTACTCAACGATGGCCATTTTTAAAAACTATAAAAGTGATTCAGTCCTTCCCTAAATACACGTAGCGTTATGTAAACTATGTATAATTCTATATAATATGTACACAAGGGGTATTTCCTATATAAACTCGTCGTAGGAAATATAAACGTAGTGTAGCAAAAAATCATCGATCTTAAATTGGAGAGGAGAGGATTAGGAGGGAATTTTTTTTGTTATTTTTAAGCCTAAAATACGTCACAAAATCCATAAATTAATTAGGCAGTTCGGATGTCAAAACTCTGTTTCTAACGCGCGAAGAGTCACTTCTTAATTTCTTATTTACAGAAATAGGGTCTTGAGCAAGTATAACCCTTAGGATGTGTGTTTTAGTACCTTCGAGTAACGCATGGCTTTTATTGCGCCGGACTGCTTGCAAGTGTAAAACAATTCGGACTCTTCCGAATGATTCATGCTGGTATCTCATGGGCGCTGATGATCGGGCGTTGACTTAAGAATATCAGGCTGCGTAGGAAGACAGCTTGAACCTACGGAAGTATTGTTAATGAAAAGGCCAATTTTCCAATGGGACATAGTCATTTTATAGTGCATTACGATACAAGTGCGGGAAAGTAGATTCTTGTCTCGTGTGGCGATTACGCCCGAGCGAAGCGAGGGTGGAAAGGTACACAAGACGAGAAACTCTTTCTCGAATATGTGCCGTACCGTATTTTTCAATACGACGTATGGAAAGTGCGATTTTCAATGCACGTTTTTTGCCGAACGTGCGGGAAAGATGCACTTTGCGCACGGAGTGTTGAAAAGAGTATATACGCACCGGTTGTAGCTCTCAATGTAGATTTGATAGAACGATGAGAACCGTTCCGCGTAAGTGTATTCATCTGCGGGGTTCCAGGCAAAGCGTGGCCCAGCGCGTTCATATAATCCGCTATTAACAACGTTATCTCTAATATCTGCAAGAAATCTCAATATTTAATTAATACGCGATCACTCGAACATCCGTGAGGAAATAGTCAACTCTTACCTTAGGCTTACTCAGCGCAAACAGAAGCTTCTGTTCAGCTGCACCTTCGTCGGGACATGCAACGAGCATGAAGTCATCCAAACAACCACCAAAAGTAACAATATTAGCGTAATTGTAACGGCACATTACGGCCATAGTTTGATATTCGAGCAAAGTAACACTATCCTCTGATACTGCTATCCAAACTGTCGTCGACTCTGATTGTTTCAACTGTATGCACGAGTGTTTTCATTAGTCGTAATACTTGTGGCCGTATGAGGTAACAGTTATGTTGTGCTTACCTTGGCCTGATAAAGCGTCGCGCCGAAGAAGGGCCACTTTCGCGTGCAAGTAAGGTATATCCTCACACAGTCGAGTATATTGCGGCCTTTCAACGACATCCACTTTTCTTGGAGCTTCTCTTGTAACTCCCTGCAAAAGCGCATGGTAATTAGTCGCTCGACATTGCCAATTTCATGAAAAACTGCAATTGTTTAAGGAAGTATACCTCAACTGATCAGCAGTGATGTTTGAGCGATATCTGACTGGGTAGAATTTGTCCAATGCTTGTAACACTAAATGATGGGGATTGCTGCCTGGGCCGCTGCCACGAGCTTTTTCCGCGTTGTACTCTCCGAAGTCAATCTGTAAAGATTCACACGTTCAACGAATGATCCGAACAACTCTCGAATCTTTATCCGGAAAATCGAGCTTTCACCTGTGCCATGAGAGCAGCAAGTTCGAACGCAAGTTCACGATTGAGCGGGAATCTGCCGTGCACCACCTGCTGATTGACTTGATAGCACAGTAGCAGCCTTTCGCGATCTGTCTCCATCTTGGCAGCGTGCCTCCAATACAGTCTGGACTTGTACGTCAGCTGGATCACTCTCGTGTTCTCGAATTTGCCGGAACCCTTTTCTCGCAGAGCCGTTTCCCATTTGGAAATTATATCACACAGCTGGACGAGAAATCGTCGAGTTATATCGGTGAATTCGAGCGCGCTTACTTTAAAAAATGTACCTTAGCCTGCAGATCGATGTAGTGCTCCAAATTCTTCTCGATCGGATCGTCGCTAAACAGACTGAAGCCCGACTGATGCACGTCTCTGCATCCGATCTCTTGATTAAGCGTCGCGAGGAACTCCTCGATGGTGGTGCTGCCGTCGAAGCTGACCACCTGATACGTGCCATTTAGGAAGTGCACGGGTATGGCGTGCGGCAGCGAGTGGTGGTAAGGGTTCTTCAGCAAGATCGACAATACTTCCATGCGCGACGGTTTCACCTCGCGACTGCTGTTCTGTAGGGTGCGCTCCACAGCGCGCTCGCAATACGTCGCGTACTTGCCGTACTCCGTCCTGCCGCGCGAGTCAGGATATCCGTTAATGGTGACCCCGTCGAGTCGGCTCGAGCTAAGTACTCACTTGGTGTCGGCGTTCCTCTGCAGGTGCAGCTTGAGGTACCACAACAGCCTGTTATTTCTGGGCAGGAACAGGGAGACGGCCAGGGCGAGCAATTGCCATCCCTGGACGAACACGTACTGGGCCGGATTGGTCTTGCAGTCGAGCAGATTGGCCGTGGAGTGTGCCTGTGCCAACGAGGGACTGTGAGACGTTGACGCGGTCGACTGCGCATCCGCGTTATCCGGGGTCTCGGCCCCTGTGCTCGCACCTTGCGCGTCGCACGTGAACAGCGACTGCGTCGCGCACAGCAGGAGTTGCTGCAAGATTTAGGCTATGCTGGCGTACTTCCTTGACGAATGCTTTTATTTCATTATTTATTTATTTATTTCAAGAACGAACCAGTACTACTCGATTTTTCTTTTATGGTCTCTCTTTTGCTTTTAGTTATTTAACTTTACAAGGGTGAAAATTGATGGTTGAATTGAGAAAGAACAGTGAAAAATCATAAACGATGAAAAAAAAACGTTGGCTTGAAATAGGATTCACAATTTCAACTTGGAAAGCTACTCATCAATATAAAATAAATTTTATTCCGAGGTACAATTCATTGAATATTTTTAGCTATAATTGACAACGCTTTTTTTTAAATATAAAGTATCACGTTATACATCACATTTTTCGTTATTTACTCCGATAAAAATTTCTCAAAATCTGAATAACAAGTAAGCTATGATAAATATTTATATATTTATGAGGAACCGTAGCATACTCATAGGTAAATATAAAAATACAAGCGTATATATTTGAAAATGTGTATAAAGGAATAAAATATCATAAAATTCACCAAAATAGCAAGGGGTCTAATAAAAAAAACCAAAATGTTTGCCCTCCAGTTAGTAGAAGCAATGGAGGATATTCAAAGGGGCCACAGCAAAGTATTTGAAAAAGAGTTAATGTGTTCGTATAAACGTAAAACCTCATATCCTGAGACATTGAAAAAAAAGGGAATGAGTAACACCTACATGTCTACCACATGTAATAGATAAGAGTAGATAAGACACTTGTGAAGAGGATAATATTAAGTTTTTATATAAAAATTGACTCAGTCATATATAAGCTCTATTAATAGGATAAACGTAAGAAATGGCGTGAGACTAATATGAAACGAAATCATCATCATCGGCCAACCTAATATAGTCAACAAAAAACATTCTACACCGAAGGTGTCGTGAGCTAGCTGTCACTAGAATTTTCTAAGCATCATTCAAATATTAACACAGTGATTGAAAAATAAATCTTGACTTTCAAATAAATAATTAGAGATATCATTGAAGAAGAGTGAAAACTATAGAAAGAGAAAGAGAGAGAGAGAGAGAGAGAGAGAGAGAGAGAGAGAGAGAGAGAGAGAGAGAGAGAGAGAGAAAGAGAGAACCAGCTATGTATGATGCAAATGAAAAAATAAAGAACGCCAACAAAAGAAACGGGTAGAAAAAAAATCGAGTTTTTCATGTGTGTAAGACTTCGTCATTCAAAAACTTTCTTTTTCTTTTATAATGTACACCAACATACCATTCTGCAAGTGTGTGCGTGACGCTGAACGTACTTTTGTTTTTTTATGTTTTTAATCTAACATCTAGTGCAAAGCTTCAATTCAATAAGTGATAACACGCAATCAAATCAATACGTTGAATGAATTGTTAATTTTCAAAGTACGTTCGGCACGATGGTTTGAGCGTTCTAAAGTAAATGATTCATATGATATATTGATTATGTGTGAAAACAGAGTCAACGTTATTTTTTTTTGTAAAATTAAATTTAATTCTGTTCTGTCGGTGAAATGTATTAGGTTGTGTTTGAACAATGCATGCAATTATGTGATTATAGTGAATATATCAGTAGCAGCAGCACATTCAAAGCAGCAAATGATAGTGAAATGTGATTCAGTGATTTCGTAAACTAAAATTATTTGTTAATACTTCGTCAAGTATAATCTGCATTTTTGTTAACGCAAAATTCTACGGCTAGTAAGAAACTTGTTAATCGTCAATTAGTGAGGTGAATTACCACACATAATAGGACTACCAACTTACTTGATCGTCTCGAGTATTGAAATATCGCTTGATTCGAAATAATTTAATTAAACGATATTTCATGTTATTTTTTGTTTCAAAAAGCATATTGATATTAATTTCGATACTTGACCAAGTGATTTCCGCCACACAGTTTCTCATTTGATAGCAAATCGAACTCTGAGAGAAACGGTGGAGCGGAGTGATTATTTTCGCTTGTTAAACAAATAAGCAGGACTTACAACGCGCGCAGTGCCCAGCGACACAATTTTGGCGGCCTTTTTTACCTGTACGCCAATACGATGCTGCGTATGACGACTCGTCTGCTTTACCAATGCACAGATGAATTCCGACTGTAATTCCGGCTGATCCAAGCACTGCTGTAATGCATTTTGCGCGAGAACCACGTGGTAGTCGATACCTGCTTGCTCGACCGCGACTGACATGAATAGTTGGACAGCCTGGATCGGCGAAATGAACGGGTTAATATTTTAATTATCATAAAAAAAAGTTTTTTTTATTTCCTACCTTGAACAACTTAACCGCTTCCGATTGTAAGGTCTCCGAAGTAAGACTAGTCAGTGGACTGGTAATATTTTCTTTCGAATGTAATAACAACGGATGCCTCCAAAGAACACAATTAGGATCACCATCAGTTTCCATCAACCTCTGAATTAGTTGCTCGTACTGTGTACCAGCGTTAGGTCCACCGCCAGACACAACCGTCAAATGGTACAGCCAGTTATCCTTATCTTGCTTCTGCTGCAATAGCAGATAAGTGGGGCCTTGATGCGAGGGAAATATACCGATAGTATACTCTTGGCTACTTTCCGAGTCACGTTCCTCGCTGTCACTGTCCGACAGGTGCTCGACCTCTTCTACTCGCGCATCTCGCATGTTTATTTGGCCTATTGGATTTTGCTGTAGAAGATTGAATGTTGCAATTAGTTTGCAGTTATTTTTGTTTGTAGCCATGCACGTGTGCAAAGTAACTCACGGTATCATTGGGGCACTTAAAGTAAAGGAACATTTTGCCGATTAGGACACACCAGCATTTCTTCGCGTGGCCGTTCTTCACTTTCGTGAGCCAACCTTGAATCGTTGGTTTATTGTCTTCTCTGCTGAGTAATAATTTCGTTGCGTTTCGCCTCTGTACATTTTGCAACACGCGTATCCAGTCTTCCATTGTCGCTATGCAATCAGCAGTGAGATAATAGGTTTTCTTGCCGGTTGCTATTTCGAAAGTCGCTGCTCCTTCTGCTCGATTTATCCTGTGAGAACGTTATTTTTTCTTATTTTTGTTTCAATGATTACTTAAAAGCTTATCTAAAGCATCTTTACGTTCACGTTGCAATTTTTGAATAGTTTACTAGGATTTCATTATTTTATTCGACAGAAAATTTAGATGTTATGTGATTAGTCGGTGCGTGAACATTTTCCATTCATCAATGTATCATACTCGATATAAACGACCTAAACAACTTAATAATTAACATCAAATTTGTTAAAATTCAAATGAGACACGCTGATTAATTGATCAATCATAAAAATTTTGTTGTTGGAGAAAAGAAACTACTAGAAAAGCCATCTGGTGAAATAATTATAGATCGGAAGTTTGAAACGTTAAAAATATACGAAAAATAATTATCAATAACGAACCATAGCGTTTCTTCAAAATAACAATAAAAATCACGATACAATTTAATTTCTGAACATGCCAAAAAATAAACCAACCTGCAAACTTCGTCAAGAAGAATTTGTCCTTGGGGTTTTCGATTAACGTCATTCTGACTCTTCCAATAGCACAGCGTCCCATTTTTTAGCACGAAATACCTTTTTCTCCAAGTTTTCAATTTTCCACCAAGCTTAGCTAAGTGACCAGCTTTCTCCAGTGATTCTTGTCTCTTAGGACTCTCCCCGGAAACTCTCATAAGTAAACTTGGCATGCTGGATTCAAGTGATGTCGAGCTGAGAGCGTCAGGTGGAATAGCGTAGTCTTCCGACAACCCCGACTCTAAAGAAGTGTCTGTCACGTTAAAAAAAGCAGACATTGACGAGATTTTTTTTTCTGTCTGCGTAGAAATATCGTGAAAATTCGAACTGACCGCGTTTGACGCTCTTGCTTGGTGAACCGCTGGAACTACGTTTAGCAGGACTCAGGCTACTGGTGGTTTTGACACTTTTTGATGGGCTGCTGGCACTGCCGAGGGATGAGTCGGTGTTTTCCGAGGAACTATTGGTTATTCGCGTGTTGGTTTCCGTTTGATTCTGGTGATCCTCGCCGTCGGAACTGTCGTCCGAACTGTCACCGAATGGCATCGACCTTATCTGACTAGCTCGCCCTATAGATTCGTTGGAAATTAATGATGATGATAGATACTCCAAATGAAAATAAATATTAAATATAATGAAAATACACCGCGCTGGCACTGTTCAGCACACTACATTCATCTTTTCATTAATTTAGAGTTCTTTGGCGACGTAACTACAAATCATTTTAGTCTGAGAAATTAATTAGATCGTCTGCACGCTCAGCGCTCACGAAACGTACATGAGATCGAAAGCGATCTCTCGGCACAAACATTCAGTTCACATACCTTTGACCGTGGCATAAACTGGCACAGAAATGTCGCAATATCCTTGCAAATTGTGTCCCGTGAGATTATGTCCTGCGTGTGAGTGTTTCGACGACGTTGTATTCGTAGTCGTCGAAGGTATGGACGGGTCATCGTTTGTTGGAGGTCCGATCCCTAGGCCTCCGTCGGCAACCTATTTCACAGAAAGTTGAAATAAGATTTAGCTGATGATTCGTTAAAAATCTATGTGGTGTTTGAGCATGCAATATATTTGTCGAATAAAAATAGTCGCTCCTTACGAAGATAATTGACATCGCGAGAAACATCAAAATTTTTTCTCATAGCGAGACAGTATTATCTAATAAAGCCAGTCTGTTAGTGTGAAAACTCACAAGAGCGGGGACCGAAACGCGTTTTTCATAAACTCTACAATATGATCACTCCGAAACAAAAATCAAAATACAATGATCTAAATCAAAACACACAAAAAAAAAGGAACATTCGATGTTAATTGCACACCACGTGGAAAAAAGAGACAGGTGATATCACAGCACACGAGGACAAAACATCATCGTAAAAAGATGGAGCTACCGTAGCCTCGGTCCCCGCGCAAACGACGGCGTCGGTCACCTGGTAAATCTTGGCCTCCCAGCTCGGGAACCTGTGTAACGGCGGCGTAGGCGGCCTTGGTGTGCCGACGTCTTCGACAGTCGCCGCAGTCCCTTGATTATTCTGCTGGCCCCACGGCGCCGTGGCTGGGCCTTCGCGACACGGAGTGTAAATTTCGGCGTAGTCGTGCAGTTGCTCGTTGTCGTTGTCGACCACGCAGCTGTCGGCTATATAACTGTCCCGGCTTAAGCTGCCTTCTGACACTGCCGCCGATGCTGAAACTATACTGGTCGGCAGCATCACGAGATTCTCCACGGCCGCGGCGAGCTCTTCGGACAGCAGACTGAAAGAGATGGATGCGATGGTTTTGACGGATTTCACGTCGGCATTTCTGCCGCAACAACGAAAAGCTTGCGCCGTTGAGATTGCGAATTGACGAGTAGTCCAAAGTCGATGTCGATTATTTTTACATATTGGGTTTTTTCACACATTAATGGATAGTAAGATAACGTTGTTAGCAAAGATTTCATCCAACTCAGAATTCAAGGATAACATAATGATCTATTAAGTTTCCCGTTATATTTAAATAACTTAAATAATTATAATTTTATTAATGATAATCAAAATCACAATCACAACGACCTACATGAACATTTTTCTTAAATATTCAAATCTAAGCAGTTGCTAATAATGGTCTATTGATTATTACAATTGAAAATTCAAGTTAAATCAGTGTTTAAACAAATCATTATTTGGAGATAAAAATAAATATTTTCAACAGCAACAATTATTTGACTCATAGTTCTTAGTACTGAAATAATAATAATAAAAATAATAATCGAAAGAAGAGCATAAAATGAGTCGGATTTAATCAAGCCACCGATAATAAAATGATATCATTGTTTTATCAAAACAAGATCTTTGCGAAATTCTTGCCGCTTCAGCAATGTATTGATTTATCCAAAGGAATTGCAATGGGGATGTGAAAAGAGAAGAATGCAATTCCGCAGGATATCGACGAGTACGTGCGGCGTTTTCAAGAGGAGGCTTGCATTAATCAAGTAACCTCTTTGAGTCGCAACGCTACGAGCTGCAATCTCAACTACCAACGCGATAAAATGCCAATTCCCCAGAGTACAATTCCAGCCGAAACACATCTACTAGCCTACTTTGCCAATTGGCAAGAGAAAGTTATGGGAGCTTCCCAAGAATAAGACAAAATTAACGGAGGAAAACTCACGTTGCATCCATATTGACGTTCTGGCCGGTGGTCTGGTGAATGGTGCCACAGGCTGATAGGTGTCGTCGGTGTCTCGTCGATTGTTGTGGCTCGGGCAATTGCGAAGACGTCGGCTGCTGGTGTGATGCTGACGCTCGGTCCGAGGTGCCGCCGACGACCACCTGGCCCGTACCCTCGAGATTCTCCGAGCGCCTGCGCAAACTCGGATCGACGTCCAACGATAAGGAGGCTCGCGATGTCGGCAGAATCTACGTGTGTTAAAGAGGCGAGCGTGAGTCATGGGCGTAGGTGCGACGAACGATTCGCGCGGACGGTTATCGGGAGATTGCGCTTGTTTTCAATTTTGATTCGACCATCAAAAGAATTTGGCGCGCATAGAAAAATTATTCGGTTCTGTTTTGTCGCCGATGAGCATAAGACAAAATTAATGCTTTTTAAATATCTCAGCGAGGCAAGGAATGTTTAGCAATGAAATTATTTGTTAGAACTCCAGCAAAAAATTTGGTAAAATATGAAATTGACGTGGTTCTCAAAAAATTGTCAACTACCTCGAATGCAATAGGTTTTTAAGTGAGATTCGATAAATATAATTTTTTTGTTCAAATGTCCAAATTTAAAATAATTGAATGTTAAATTAGAGCCCCTACACACATAGAATAGTTGTTGGAGCTACAAATGAACAGTCGAAAATTGTTGCCATTGATATTTATCTATTCGACATCTCAGCTTAGCGTAGCTAAAGCCATGAATTAGCGCAACATCCAACTGGCACTCGATGAACCTTTGCAGACTTTAGTCCACGTTATGGGACGAACGGTGACTGCGAAAAACTCACGGGTGGTCTAAGGCCGATGTTGGTGATGTGATTGCGAAGCAGCTCGAGCTGCTGGTTGCACTTGTTGTTCTGCTCGCGTAGGTGCTGATTCTGCTGCTCGAGCTCGCGCAGCTTATTCGTCACCCACTCCTTGATGCGAGCTGCCTTGGCCTCCACTTGGCGGGCGTCTTGCAGCCGGAGCTGGCGCTGCAAGCACACACATGCACACGCGACGCGACACACACAGCATGTGTTACTAAAGTGGTTATTTTGGTCGCTCGCCTTTCACGTCGCCGGAGGCAAGGATGCACTCTGCGCGCTCTCGCGATGCTTTCGGAAAGAGAAAGGGCCTTTCGGGCGCGGTTAATTCTCGGTGGGAGGATGAGCGAAAACTCGATTAATAGCAAATGGAATTACCTGCTCCTCCACCTGGGTCTCTAGTTTGCTGATGCAGGCGCAGTGCACCTCGTCATTCTGCGCCCCAGAGGTGGACGGCAGCGAAGTCGATTGACCTGGTGAATCCACTTGCGAGGTGCTCAGGCAGTATTCACCCTTCACCAGCCGCTCCTCCATCATCCGTACCTGCGCAACGCAACAAGACCTTTCTGTTCCACGGTGCCGTTTCTCGATTCTCTCGTGAGCTACCGTGGATGACTGTTGGATTCGCTTCAGCGCTATCGCAACGATCGGCGCTCGTGGGAGCGTGAGCGTATCAGTGAGAGAAGCTTTCGGCCAAGCGCGCCAGATTGACGAATGCAAAAAGCTTGTCTCCGCTAACGAACGAACAAACGTCAAGGCTTCTTCCGACCGCGGATCGCTGTACTTCCACCAACAATCATCCGACGTGCCGAAATTCACTAAGAGATCGTCAATGGTTTGATGTCCTATGGATCATCGTTTTATTTATGTACATAGGAGCGGATGCACCCGCGGGCAAAATAATAATAAGAGACGGCGCGGCCACAGCAAGTCACGTGCACTAGGATCCGCCAAAGTCTCTCACTTCAAACTAATTTCATGATACGTAAAATAAAAGATAGAGAAATAACTAGTTTAGGCGTTTTATCTACGGATAAATCAATTTAGCATAACTGTACCTTTTCCTTAACATGGCTGATATGCTCATAACTCGACGATGACATTCTACATTAGCCTATAACCAAATGTTTTAACACTTTCACTTGTTTAAAACGAACAAAGGATACAAAGCCAAAGTAAATTGCAAGAGTGTTCGAAAAAAAAAAAAAAAAAACACGTGCGGCCGCGTGCGGAGAGAGATCTTCTGCGAGAACATCTGTCGAAAAAAAAAGAAAAACAAACAGAAAAAAAAGAAAAAAATCGATGTCGCGGTGACTCCTGAAAAGAGAAGGGGGAGCCCCTCTGGCACACGCTATATAACCGCCACGAGGGAAATCAATACCGGCCGGCAGCACTACAACCCCCCTTTTTTTACTTGGTCTTCGCGCGCGCACGAATAAATTTTCGTCGTTCCAAACAAATGAAAAAAATGAAAAATAGTATAATATACCTACAGAAGCTTTGTGTATACATAACGTTTCAAGCTCGCTCTTTTCCAACAAAGCCAAAGTGTAGAAGAAGCCTTTACAAAGCCATCATCATCAACAGACAAAGCGGAGAATTGGACAAAAATAAAGAGAAAGGAGAGAAATGAAGCGTCAGTTTACCGTTCAATATCAAATCCATGATTGAAAGGAAAAGCCTGGGTGTCGCACACAGAGCGGAGCGGGTTGCCGTGCGATCGGGCGACAGTCGAGCTCGCGACTGAAAACGCCGGCGACGTAGACGACGACGGTGGGTGAGTCATGGCTGCTACTTCTGGCGAGCGGCCAACGAGCAAGGGGGCGCTTACACGAACACATGTGCCGGCGACGAGAGTTCCGTGACCCTTACGCGCTCGCATTTTTTTCCCCGTCGAGAACGACGACACACACGATGATGATTGCTCGAACAGCTGAATCACATTGGGGATCGGTGCCTCATGAGGGTGGAGGTGGGGGCGAGATGAGCATTGATGGGAAACGTTTATGTTACGTGTTTTCATTAATGCGAGAGACGCCTTTGCGTCGAGTAGTTGCTTTAATCTGGAAAATTATCGAAACAAAATTTTTTTTCTCAGTTTTCTGGAATTCTAACGAACGCATTGGTTTTTATTCGGATGTTTTTATTATTTATTCATTGTACAATATACTTGTTAAATAACAAATCCCAATGAGGTTAAATACCAAAGAATGAAGTGTCGATGGGAAAAGACGTTCGCCAAATTATTTTTCGGGGATGGCCTTAAAAACCATAACTCTCTGTATTATAGTGTGTATAAGATGTCATGCCATCTACCTGTACTACAAGAGTTTTCATAAATTGTGGCAAATGCGATGAGATTTCGTAGACACTCACAATTCGATCTTTAAAAGTTTTTATGTGAATCGAAAATTGAATGGAAAACTTGTTCTCTCAAAGGGATTATATTACGAATGAGGATTAGAGGCCAGATAATGGCAGATTTACAATCGTTCGTCAAGTATAGTTGACTAATTTTAATATTTACGATGAAGAATTCTAACACGGTGATGAAAACAACGGTTTAAAAAATAAAGCTGATTACAGCATTTCAACTGGAATTAATAGATCTCGATAAAATCTTGGCCATTAAACGGACAATTTCCAGCAAAATTAATGTCGAACAAATTTTTGAAATATACTTAGAATATCAGATTGAACTTTAAGAAGATTTTAATAAATTCAAATCCAAGATATCCATAAGGGTACTAGTCCACGTGGACGCAGATTTCGCGATATATCGCAAATGAAAAATACTACCTCGCGCCGAGTAATGGAACTTTAGCGAATAATCCAAATCGATTTTCAAATCCCTACTAAATCATTAAGCGTCGACCCAAAAACGCAAGCACTCCCGATCGAGCGGGACGCGAGAAATTTTTATCGAATTAGACGAAAGTGGGGAGCGAGAGGGAGAGAAGCCCGCAAATCGAGTGGCCGTTCGCCAGAATTTTGCACACGCGAATTCTCTCTCTCTCTCTCTCTCTCTCTCTCGCTCTCTCTCTCACCGCTGAACAGGATACACGGGCAAACGGCCGCCCGCTCACGTGCTATCGTGGCGCAGTCGCGTCGATTAGCATAGTTTCATTGCCGTTTAGCTGTCACCAGTCCCAGGGCAAAGTCCCGCAATACTGGAATAATCGATCGAAATTGACGAGTTGCACATTGGAGTTGACTTTAGTGCACGCGCTGCGAGTTTCGGTCCTCTAATGTCTTCTTTTACATCGAAGGTTCAACTCGCGCGTGACATAGCATCCCGCAGAACTCTCTTTCCGAGCCCATTCGGATCGACAACTGGCAAACAAAAGCGAATCCGCTAGAGCGATGATGAAAGTGGGATTAAAAGCCATCTGGCGGCTACTGAGATACTGCAGCGATGAATTGCCAGTGCCCATTAATTATGTAGATAGCCTTGCGCCACAGCCAAGCTCAACTTCAACTTGTACTCCGCAACGATCGAACGTTTTCTTTGGAAGATCCTCGCGGCGCACAGACACTTCCAACACTATGCAGACACTGCAGCAAAACACTACGCACCGCCTCAACCATCACTCGTCGTAGTTCCCCATCGCGAAAAAAGCTGAAAATGCACGCCGTCGATAAACGCAATTGAGCGTTAACACAGGCACGCGTAAGGTCAACGACTGCCACTCTCGTGCGTGAGGTTGATCACCTGCCGTCGTACCTCACTTTTCCACCGAACCTTTAAAACAAACAAATAAAAAACAACAAATCACTCGCAGTCTCGCATTACGTAATAGCGCGACGAGGACAACGTCGAGCAAAAAAGCTGTCGATGAGCTTGGCTTTCTTTTAGAAATGAAAACTTACACCACACGACTATCTCTCTCCGCCGGTAGAAGCGTTTCTCTCTCTCACACTCACTCTCTCTCTCTCTCTCTCTCTCTCTCTCTCTCTCGGGCGTACCTTGCACGTGTCACCTGCCGCCCGCAAGATCCATAATCAACGACACACGCACCAAACACAGCAACGAAAGAACCGCGAGGGCTATCTGCGGCGAGCGGTCGTTTCGCTCGCTGCCATCTTGCAAACCAGGCGCGTTTCTCCGTCTGTCTGCTGGTGCGCGTACGCGCGCACGAGAGAGAGAGAGAGAGAGAGAGAGAGAGAGAGAGAGAGAGAGAGAGAGAGAGAGCGAGCGCCTGCCAAACACTCTCTCTTTCGCCGCCACCGCGCGGCGAAAATCAATGAGCTACCACCCCTCTCGTGGCGCGCGAGCCGCCCCGCCGGCCACGACACACACGACCCCCGAAGTGATTCGGCTGCAGTTGCACGTCACCCTGCAACTCTCGCAGACGCACAGGCGGAGAGGCGAGATCGTGCGTCGGTAATTCGCGGTGAAAACGTTATCGGGGAAGCACGCCTTTTTTTTTTTCATTCTTAGCAGTCTGCGCTTGCGCCGCGCTACCTGGCTCGGTCGTCGACGCGTGGATAGGTGACAACCAGTTTGACGGATGAAACGGGCTGCGTGTAATGGGCTTTCGGCGATAACAAGTCTGACGAATGAGAGAACACGGGAACGATGGGGATTCGATGACAGTGTTTGACGAGTGAACATATTCGCAAAGAATGATCATTAGAATTCGCAAAGAATTTGTAATTTGCTTTTTGATAACTTTTAATGATAAATCAGGTACAAATGTACTTTACTGAATGTAAAATATTTTTAAGGATAATAATTGTAAATCGAATTCGAATTTATTCCCAAAGGAAACGTAGACCCTATTTAGAGCATACGGCGAAATTGTAAGCCACCTAGTAATAAAATTATAATTGTTGTCAATCGTGATAAGCTAATTTTGATCGCAGTGCTTTGGATAGTGTAAATAATATTCAAGATTTAAAGTATTTTCTACAGTTATCTAATCTCATAGAAAAACGACATTTTCAACGTAATCGTAAGGGATTTTTCGAGCTTTCATTCATTCATTCATAAAATTTGCCAAATCATGCCTCTTATGTCAGAACCTAAGCTAATCAATAAATACGCCCATTAGCAAAATAACTATGCCAATGAGGACGCTTCAAGCAGCCTTGTGTCGAGATAGCATAAAGAAGATAAGACATATAAGAAAATAAGATATGTAATATTGCAAAAACACGCGACGAAATGAAACTACATCCCCTATCCATCTTTCATCGTCGGTCGGTAAAAGCTCTCTCCCCTGCAAGAGCTTACACCTGTCGGAAGCAAGCTGGCGCCAGGAGCGCGATTCGGTGCACCCGCTCGATCCATCGAACACAGTGTCCGAACATATATATACACCACATAAGGAAACAAAATGCGAGTACAGCGAGCGCTTATTGCGCGCGACGCGTCGGATTCACTTTACCTTGTCCTCCGCCTCGTCGGCACGTCCCTCTGCCTCTAGCACTCGCTGCTCCAGCTCCGACAACTGCAACAGACACATTCATCGTTAATTTGCGATTCATTTCGACGCTCTTTATTTGCGAGGAGGGCGGAGAGTCGGGCAAATACAAACGATAATTCGATCGTATATAGATTTCGTTAAAGAGACAAATGCGCCGCTCAGCCGTAAGCTCATCGCGATATGTTCTTCTCTCTTTTACCAAAGAATAGCTTGAATACCAAGGGGAGAAGAGTGAAAAAAAACCAGAGCAACTCCTCGTTGCGATCTCTTGGCTTAGTATCAGTGCACTAAATCCACCCTCGCGGAACCATAAAAGAACACGGGCATATACGGCCCCAGCCTTCGAATCGCAATGACAAATCGTTCATGTCGTCGTTAACGCTAATTTTGCGAATGACGAAAAGCAAAGAAGTAAGAAAAAATTGCCGGCCTCGACTGCTGCGCGCGAAACAGTAAAAGCCCCCTGCGGTGGGAATTAGCCTCCTTATCGGCTGGCTTTCCGCGGAGCAATAATTCCCGCGCTCCGATAATAAAAGAAAAGCATAACAACAACGCCACGGCGGGATGTAATGAGATTTTAATGTTTATTTCGGATGGGAGGAGGTGAGAGCCCGCAGCCGGTTTAATGGTCTGCGGCTCGTTCGCTTCCAGGAATCCCTTTGACCGCCCAGCGAAAGTTTTGATAGAGAGAGTTGTTGCTTTGTTATTTTGGGCGCGTGTCTCTCTCTCCCTCTTACCCGCAGTTTGTGGATTATTCGTGGAAAGGCTGCGTTAGACAGTCTTGGTGCTCTGACGCGAGAGCGTAATATCACGGCGAATCGGATTTTACGTAGTATTTAAGATTCGATGGTTTGCCAAGTGTACGGAAAATGTTTGCGGTGTTTGTCGGAGTTGTCAATGTTCGAACGGCGTGTACTGCAGTGGCTCTCACATCACGGGAACAGTTATTCTCGTAATGCTTTAAATTTCAATAAGTTGAAACCGTTCATAGAAACTGCGAGGAATCAAGCAGCGAATATCAGCCGGCAACAAGTTTCGTTATTCGACATTCGACCCTCTCGACATAATGACGCTCCCCGTGATTGCATCGGGCGCAATAATGGCACACTCCGCGCATTCATCAACGACAAATATTACTCCATTCACGGTTTACTAGCCCCATTTAACGTCGCGCGATAAAGCTGCTTGAGCATAGCGTCGAACCCAGTCGCAGTAATAAGCGCGATATACCCGCGCAACGCGACAGCCGCGCAAATCGATCGATATAAAGCGGAGAGCGAGAGAGAGGGACAGTGGCGACGATTAGAAGATAGTCCAGCCGATATCGATGGGCTTTGGTGGGACGAACGCTCGTTCGTTAAATTTCATATCCCGCGCCGGCTTGGGAGGCTTGAACGCGCGCTCGCCTCGCCGCTCGACCGAGCGATTGGTCGGTACCTTTTTCTTAAATCGGCGCATCGAGCCCTCGAAAACGCATCCCCCGCTGTCCTCGCAATTTCCCGAAGCCTCGAAGAGGCTAATCCTGCGCTCGTGCGCGGCTGATCAATTAAAATCACCTCGACGCGCGAATTCACAATTAGGACGGGCTTTTTCGTCGTTCTCTGGAGTGCGCGCGAGCCTCGCTGATTTACGCTCCAGCGCAGCGTGAGCGTCGCGCACTCAGCATTGTTCATCGTTTGTTGCCAGCTAGCCGACGTGATTTACCGGCGACGCGCGGCCCCTGCGTATCCCGTACCTACGCTACACGATATATCCGCAATGTATATTGTTGCCCGCGCTATTTCTGCTATTGGTGTTGCACGCGTCGCCGACTTTCGGTTGCTTTTGCCTCTGTTCGGAAGATAATTTCGACGCGCTGAATAATCGCAGGCGCAAGCTTCCCGGATCACATCGCTTTAAGATCATTCGACGCGCTGAACCGGAAATCAAGCAGGAAACGTTTTTCGACAATCGGGCTAAGATTAAAAATGACAGTTGACGATTGAGGCGCGTTAGGGAACGTCTTTGCCAACTCGAGCGTCCGTGTATAATCGAGCTTTCGATCGAACTGCCAATTGTTTGATGCCACGCAGTTGACAAATCCATTTCGTGCGTCACCGCAAACGCTATTCCGAGTTGGCTCTCGAGCAAATCTAACGACGACGACGTACAAATCAAAAAAGCACACACGAAAGGAAGAGAGGAAAAAAACATAAAGGGAAGCGAACCTATAAAAAAAGAAAGTCGAATACGTACGCATACGTCTCACCGATAAAAGAGAGCGAAGCAGTCGGAGCGTAAATCAGCGACAAATCGATTGCACAGCCATGAAAAAGAGATATTCCGCTTTTTTCGGCCCTTTCGAAAGGAGACTTTTCGGCGAGGCGAGCGCGCGATTTATACGCGCTCATATAGGAGAGGAGACCTCGATAAAAGGTAGTGTCGTCCGAGAAATCCGAGCTCACAAAAGGTGTCGGTCGGTATATGCGCGCAATATCTTTTTTCCTCGAGGGAGTGTATAGCAGCCGAAAGCTTCTTCTCGTGCGGTTACGCTCGTAATAAAGGGAATCTGCCGCGTGCCGCCGCAGTAACGATTTCGGAAATTCGGTGTTGGGTGTCCTACCTCTAATTTCTCTGCCAGTCTTCGTTGGCCGTGTTCCTTGCCAGCGATCTCTCTTGTCTTTTTTATTTGATTCTTTTTGCTCCTCGGTTTGCTTGCTCGCGTTCGCACGCTTCTCCGTACACCTTCGGTACGCGATCACCAGGCGTTTACGTTCGAGGGCAATGTCGAGCGATCGAAAATGCGAATATTAGGTCGTCTAAAAACAGCGGAACGTCCGACTACATTGACCTTCCTTGATGCGATGCGAGGGTAAATTCGCGAGTGCTTTTACGTTTGCCGATATTATCTTCTCCGCGGGCAAAAACGTCACTCACGACGGCGAGCAAGCATCCTATAATTGCGCGAGTTCGCTTGGGCTAAGCGATATTTTAATGACGAGTGACAAGTCGGTCACCCAAAGACTGCAAACGTTTCTAACGTTATTTGCACTTGGAAGTGGTTACAAGGCTTTTAACAGAAACGAGAGATTTGGACGAAGAGACGAAGCTACAACTCCTTCCGTTAGTCCAGTCGGACAAAAAGGCTCGCGAAACTCCAAGTGCGCGACGCAGCGACAGACGCTTGTCGATAAATCTCCAAGTTAACGAAATCGCAGTCGTTTGAGCTTGCGAACGCGATGGACGTATTCAGTGCGAGCAACTCGTGACTATAACGCATCTTCTGGCGTTAGGCGTTCCCAATAGTCCACATTTGTCCATCGACTGGCCCACAAATCACCAGGCAAATCCACATCTCGGAAGAGTGTGCTCCCAAAAAAGAGGAGTCAGCGCGAGTCACAGATCGTCCGTCGGGCTGCCCGCTCGCTTCGGAAAGAGGAAAAAAAACAAAAAACAAAAAACAAAGAAGCTCTCGAGCGAAATGATCTCGTCCGGCAAGAGCGAGCCGCGTTAGTTAGCCGCATCCGGCCGCGATCAAGGCGGAAGCGTCCTGGGTGCGTAGCAAGTGAGAGAGACGCACCATTTATTTCGGCTCGCTCGCGAGACGCGGTCGGGATTATAAATTGCCGCCGCCGCGGCGGCGCGAGCGCCCTGGACTTTTGGCGCGCGTCGCTCTCGGCCAGGCGCGCGAGAGGAACGCCAGTTAGCGCGCTCGCTAAGGAAACGAGATATCTCCGCGTAGGCAATTTATCGCGCGCGCAAGAGAGAGAAAGAGAGGCGCTCTCCGGGGAAGACGCGCGCTGCGGGCTAAATTGAAGGGGCGCCACCTGAGGATTGCGCGGACACCGGCAGCAAGGCGTGCCTTTCTTCGCTGCGCGTATCGATGGCAGTATTATGACGCGCGTGCCCGCGCGATACGTCATCGCCCGGCGCGTGCTCACTTTCAATTTGTCGTGGCGCACGGCGAGGGCCCCCGACATCGTTGCCAACGGCTCGGCGTCTCTTCCTCGGTGGTTCGCTTTTCTCCGCGCGGAAATTGACGGCGCTTCGCAACGCGGAGGTAGCTTGGCATTCGCGAACGATCGACAATGCGATTGAAATGGGACGTACCGGCGAGCATATCGGCCACCACGGGCAATTACGGCGACGAACGAAACGGCCAATTGATTCGCGGAAAATTCGATGGAAACGCCACGGTACTCGAAACGCGAACCCGTCGCGAGCCGGAATCGCGAGATCGAACTGCCCGCGCAAGCGGAAACGAATTCAGCCGAAGGAGTCGCAGTCGCGCATCTCGTTCCTCGGCATACGGCGTCCGCTGCACTATTTTTCACGCTATCTCGCTTTTATATCTCCGAGCTTCTCGCGCCAGGTACATTATGCACGAGATACACATTTATCTGGGCTGCACACCGCGGCGGCGGCGCGGCAACACTTGCGCGACGCCTCCTCGGGGATGCCTCTTTATCTCGCTTAAGAGTCGCCCCGTTGAAATATGAAAAACGCGGCCGTTTCGCAAATAACAGCCTTATCGCTGGATTTGTTGCCTTCGATTGCTCGCAACGTCGCCGATGGGGCAGCCTGTTATTCATGGCGAGTGATTTTGAAATGGAAGTCACTGCCGAGAGAGAGAGAGAGAGAGAGAGAGAGGTGGATCGCTTAAATGACGGACCATTCGCGAAGATGGCGCGGCTTGATTACTTTATTGCTTGCGCTCTCTGTGTCTTGCCGTCGACGCAATTTCATGGAAACGTATCGCCAAGTGCCAAGTGTGAATGGTTGCCTTCAGTGCACGATAAAATTATGCTGAATCGATGTCCTAACTTTGCCATTTCATTCATCAAGAAATTAAGAATGAGCAGGTGAGTACAGATGCAGGAATGACGTGATCCTAACTTTTTTCATCGTACCATGTTGATCGAATCGATGGATATTTATTATTAGCTCAACGTCAATAACGCTACGGATTGTGGCTTCTCCTGGTGACCAACAGTGGCAATCGAATTCGGAAGATGGAGTGATTCGGCATTCGAAGTTGTCTATTAAAATTTACAAAATCGACTTTCGACAATGGAAAATACATCCTCGAGGATACTCTGCAATATCAATCGAGAATCGTGACATCTCCACGCGATCGATACAGTTTTCCTGGCAAAAACTCCCTCTGTGATGGCTGCCATTGAGAGAGCTTTGCAACTACTCAAACACTTCTTTCTCTCTCTCTCTCTCACTCTCCCGCGTGCACGCGCGCGCATGTGAGCGTGCCGGGAATCACGCGGACGCACTTAAAAAAAACAAGCAGGCGAAAAATCATTGGTGCTGGCGTTTATCGTCCCACTGGAAAAGTGCAAGCTCCCTCTATCTTTTATTTACCCGTTTGTTCGCGGCAGAGGCTATACAGTGAAGGAGGACACTTCACTCGACGACGACGACGACGAAGCTCGTACAAATGAATCCGACGCTTCGGATTTTTCTTTTTACGAGCGGCGTGGCGTCAAACGCGCGCGAGCATATATACTTTCCGTTCTTTTTTTTTTTTTTTGTTTTGCTTTTTTTCTTTTCCTGGAGTGAATCTACATTGAGACTTTGAGGGTGATGCCGTAAGAGTGTCGTTGAGAGTTTAGTAGATACGAAAGAGTTCTTTTTTTGGTTTTGATGTTTTACTTTGAGGTTTTTTTTTTGTTGTAGCTCCCGTTCTTTTTATTCGTCCTTTGAGGGACACTTGATTTTGAACGTATACAAGCTTCGGTGCTTGACAAGTTTAGAGATATCAAAGAGCCGTCGAACCGCTGAAGTAGACGTAGACTGAAACGGACAAAGATGCCGTCTCGATTTTGCCCGCGGCAAAATGAATTTTCAGCCAAGTAATGTAAAAATCCGCAGCCGTGACGTTTCTCGAGCGCGCAAATAATGAAATCTCCATCCGTGACTCGCGGCACAGCCACAGAGTTGCCCGTAGCCTCTGCATCGGTCCCAGTAACACAGATCGTGCTTTCCCTCAGTCTGGCACTGGCGCGTAATTAATACACGGGGCTCCCGGGGGCGATTTCATAACGAGGGACTCGCTCGCTGCTGCCGCGCGTAATCGCGGGATATACTTTTATATTTAGCGCCAGCCCGGCGGCTCCTTGTAATAACGGCGACACACAGCGCCTTCGTAATTAAAAGTGATAACAATCGCCGCGCTAGAGAAGCGCCGGCTGTATTCTTGGCTGGCTCGCCTCCTTCTTTTTACCGCGACTTTCAGCCCTTTAAGAAAGTGGATATTGCTCGCGGAAGAGAGAAATTAAAAATGCTTACCGGAAAACTGTGCGCTCCTCTTTTCTTTTCCTCCCTTTCTTGCAGATACTGGCAAAGCGAGATTTAATGGTTCACCGAGGTGCCTATTGTTTCTTTTTTGTTCGTTAAACGTGGAATTACGCGGAGCTTCGCGTTGATTTGAGCGTGGAACGATAGTTAGCTTTCGCCTTTTTTCGTTAAATCAATTGAAGAAGATATTGTTCTGATGTTTGTTCGATCATTTTCGTCTAAAATCTGTTTATAACGTGATCATATTATGTGAGTTTCACAACAAATGATAATTCCAATGTTTGTTATATATAGAATTTTGGCTGACATATCCGGGAGACGCAAGTGAGAATTACTTTTTGTATAAATTATTATCTCTTTCCTTCAAGCGACAATTCCACGTTTATTGGTTTTCAACGTATGCTCTTTTGTAAAAAACGAGTAAGTAATTTTTTAAATCGTATGAATCACATCCCGACGACCGTTTTAAAGATCAAATCTGATGAACACTAAATATCACAATATCCAACGATGATCGTCGGTACTCAATAATTCATAAACTTCAGTTAAATACCCCCTAAACCCTCCATAACACGATCATCCCATCGTTGCGATGAAGAGAAAAAAAAAGAAGTAAAACTTCTCACGACCGCACCAAGTTCAGCGATCGCCTCACCCTCAATCGCAGGGCGAAACTCAGTTAGCCTACGGTCTGCACTATACTCTCTCTCCCTCCATCTGTTCATCAATAACCAAAGAGCTACAACGGTGCTTTCGTAGTCCTATCAACGCCACTCGGCAACGGCCGTACGGCTCGTGCCCACAAGGGGCGCATCTCACGAACGCAAAGTCGACATCGTCCAAACCCCTCTTGCTAATTAACCAACCTCTACAGTGGATTTTCAGCCCGAAAGCGAAAGCATTTTCTCCGTGCGTATGTAAATTTTAATCGGCCGACCGTACGTGTGTTTACATCGATCGCTGGAAATTAGAGAAGCTAATTGGACGGAATTTCGCGGTCGACGACCAGATTTTAGACCAAAAGGGTTTCACGTTTGCCAAAGAGATTTGGAGTGGACGAGGGACAGGCACGAAGATCAGACTCACAGTCGTTCGAGTGTACACGAGACCCTCGCGTAATTGCGAGCGGGATTATGAGGATTGCTTTTGTGCGAGCGATGCGGTCTGGTCATATGGAAATTCGAGCTCGCCACGATTTTCGTCTATAGCAATCTATTAGATTGTTTTTGATAAGCGAACGTATTCTTCCCTGTGTTTTTTAAATAATGGAGGGTTAAACCTTGGTGGTCAAGCGTGAATGAACCGACTAGCCTGTGCGATCGATAATGCAAAACGGCAGTCAAAATCTTTTATTCATATATTACTGTAGACTTAAGAAAGATGACTCAAAAGAACCATTATAGCAATAGACGATAAAATCCAGGAATAAATCAGTAGTCGAATCACTAGTTTGAGGTTTAATAACAAAAGTATTAAAAAAAAAAAATTATTAAACAAGAAGATGAAAGAATTACTAATTGTCTGAATAATGAGTGTAGATTAAATTTTAATACATGTAAATAACAAACTAAAGGAAAATTATGCTATTCACAAAAACATTTGATAGTCCCGAAATGAAAATAAGTGGCATAGAAAATTATGAACAACTAAATTACGTCGACAATTTTCTATTGCTTACAATAACAATAAATAACAAAGCATTTATGTTGATATCAACAAAATATTTATTGTAAATACATACATAAGAAGTATAAAAGTAGACAGTAGAAAATGATTAAAGAAAAACTTATAAACGTTTACGTTTATGACTACTGTTGTTACCAGAATGGGATGCTTCACGTTTATTGGTATTTCGGTCAAAATATTTCACTGAAGCCAGATGTTTTATGTCTTCAAGACTTAGGTAAACCATAACTTCATTAATAATAAAATCTGCCAATCTAATTTGATTGCCTAAAGTTGTGCAAAAGGCAACTGCCGCTTTCGGTCGCCATTTGATGATGTCTAAAGCTTTATTTATACGCTTTTTAAGAACTTCGAAGTACCACCAATATAAGCAATGACTGTTGGAGATCAAAAGACGACGTACTTTTTTAGCCAATTGGTTGTTACGTAAATAACTTAAAATTTTTCTTTCGCTGTCGACCAGCAAATTGAAAATCGTGACAGATTCGTGAACCTTAACAGTTTTTAATTATTCTAGTTTCAATCTATAAATCTTTAGGCTAGATTTTACCCAGTCAGTGGAATTAATTTGTCGATGAAGTGTTTTGACAATCATCGTATCTTGCGCCTCGATGAGTGCTAAATGAGATACTACAATATCTAATAATGTAAAATTTTGCGAAAAATTCAATGCGTTTAAAATTGTATGGCCATTTTTAGTTACATATTGTATATTTGCTCCTTGTTCTATAAGAAACTCTTGAATACAATCTTTATTGAAATGACCAGGGCGTCTATGACTAATTATTAGGTTATGTAATGGAGGAACGCCATTTACACACGAATTGTTTACGTTTGCACCTTTTTCAAACAACAACTTAATGGCACGTAAGTCGTGTTTAAATGCCACAAAATGGAGAGGCGTAATACCATAACAATTTTGAATATTTGGATTAAAATCACGCTTGATTAACATTGGCCATATATCTGCCTTCGCATTCGATGCAGTGTAATGTATCACGGTATTACGATCTGAATCCGTTGCATTCAAATCAATGTTTGATCGCAATACAATTTTTATTGCAGAGCCATTTCCATGTTGGAATATTTTTAATATCTGCATGCGACCACTTTTATCACGAGATGTTAATAAGGATTTTTTTTCCACGAGAATCTTCAGAATTTCCAATTCTTCGCGAGAGCAATAAACTTCTTTGCGATTCACAGGTATTTTGCCCTCATTATTTATAGCATTAACATCAGCATTGTGTTTAAGTAATAGCTGCACCAGATTCAAACTTCCACAAGCGACTGCTACATGCAGAGGTGAATTGCCGTTTAATGGATCCTTAGAGTTGACAGAACAGCCATTATCTATCATCGTCTTAATGACCTCAACTCTATTCAGAAATAGAGCAAAATATAAAGGACATTTTGTTTCTAGCAACAGCTTCGCTATTGCTTCGTCATCAGCCTTTTTCAGTTTTTGGAAAGCCAGCTTAACAATGTTTGACCGGACCTTGCCACAATTGAACATTATCTCAAATAACTTCTTAAAATGTCTATCATTGAAATTCATGTTGATGGGCTTCAAAAGAATTTCCACCAAATCCGTTTGATTATGCATAATAGCGAGCATCAATGGAGTGTCTCTTTCATTGTTGTAAGCATCATATTTGCAGCCTAAACGTACTAGATGACGTACCATTTCAATATTATTGAACTTCACTGCATAGTGAAGTAAAGTTGATCCAGTATTGTCAATTAGATCTCGTGGCTCATTACTTGTACATTGTAGCAGCAATTTAGCATCAGTATTTTTTCCTTTTTCGATCTGGTCTATCAACTTAGGGTCAAATTCCTTATTGACTGAATTCTAAAACAAAAAGTTATGAACAAAAGTTATGATTATGATTACTATATTATAAACAACTTAAAAATTGTTTGATTCTAAATCAATATTTCACTTATATACACAATCATTTTATTTTCTAGAAATATGATGGTGGTTGATAAAATTTATCCATTTATCAATGCCATTATTGTAAGCGTCTATTTTTAATGATTCTTAACGTTCATATTAAATTAATTCTGATCGAACAACCCAACCCAAATAAAACATCACCTAAATCAACGCATTCTGCACAATAGTACATCACTGTATCGTTATATATCTTGTGCATTTAAATAAATTATTGGATTTATAGTATCATGTTTAACTCTAAAAAGTCAAATTCGATCATCTGCGCGTGCGATCAGTAAGATCACAATGTGTCAATAGTGATTTTGAACCTTAACCAGGAGAATTTTCAAAATATTCAATTACAGTCGAACCTGACGCACTACCTCCTACCGCCTTTTCCCGTGCACTACGCGCTCTCTCTCCCTAAGCACTGCGCGGCAGACACTGCCGTATACTGCTAATCCGGGAACCGGGTATCATCCCGTATACTCTAAGACGGCAGAAAGTAAAAACCATGTAATCTTATGTATTTTTACCTGCTGAATCCAATGGTACTAATAATTTTTACGACAAACCCCTAGGCTTTGTTTAAAACTCAGTTGTTTAAATAATCGTGTACAAATAATTCTTTTTCAATAAAACAATTTTTTATAGATAATTTGGGTCATTTTAAGATGAAAACGTCTCTTGTAGTTTTTTTTTAAAATACATTTTTAAAAAGTTAATAATTGAAAAATTAACTTTTTTTGCAAGTTTAACTGTTAATAATTTTTGATCTATTAAATATTTTTTAGAAATTGAAAACTCAATCTTTTCAAAGTTGTGCACTGTAAATATGTAATATTTATAAACAACTTTTAGAATTTAGGTTTGGAAAAATACAAGTTTCCTATTTTTCTCTATATGTAATTTCATTGAAAAATAAACATTTCCGGGATTGAATAATAAGCATTATTGAAATATTTATTTGTCAATGAGAAACATTTTTAACCTTAATATTTCATTAAAATTTAAATACCACGAAAAAGCAATACTCAAAAAACATTATTTATTTTCAAAACATTATTTATTTACAAAAAATATTATTATTTATTTTATGGAAAATATGCATTAATATTTACTTTTATTTAGTAAGGAATACATTTTTAACCATCAAATTTACTGTTTTTCTCTAGAAAGTATAGCGCGTATAATATTTTCCGGTGTCAAATTTATTCGGGCCCCTTAGATCTCCGCTCACCAGCGGGAGTATACGCACACCTGGTCCAACGCTCTGATTGGCTGACGCGCGGCGTGCAGTGCACGGGTCGGCTACTCCCGAGAGCAGGCAGTGCGTTAGGTTCGACTGTATTCAAAAGTGAGATACGATCGCATGCGCTTCAAAGGTATTTTAGCCTCATTATTTAAAATATTAACGTCAGTCTCGTGCTTGAGTCTGAATCATTTTCAGATTGTCATTGCTACATGCAGAAATTAACTACCATCGAGCGGATTCAACCTTAAAATGTTTAATTTCATGTTAATCTTTGATCTCCTGTCAATTCTCAAAAAGAAATCTCATAAAAAAAAGTACAGTATATTGTAGCTTTTTTCAAATTTTATCAAATTAATACGAATACTTCATGCCTTAGAACTGTTTTTACCTTTTTATCGCATTGAATATAATATATTACACAATCTGTTTGTAAAAAAAGTTGGAAATTATTTGCTCGAAAAAAATGCAATAAAATTGTACAGTATTCTAAGTAAAAAAAATGAATTCATCTACAATGCTTTTCTACATGTTTTTCTATTAATTGGATTTATGAAGACATCAAAAGTAAAAAAGCATCAATTTTCAGAAACAATTGTACATACTTTTGAATAAACAATTTAGACAGAGTTTGCAAAAAGGTACGTTTTTGTAATCGACAAAAAATTTATGATAGCCATGAAATTTAGAATTTGAACATTTAATTAATGTTTCAAAAAAAAATTTTTTAAATGTTTTATGTTCGCGATTCACGTCAGTTGGCAGTTCATAAAAAGAGCTTACTTTATAAACGAACTCCCACTTGTCTCTGCGTCTTAAGTTCTTTTAAAGACATAATACTTTCAATTTTTTAATGTAAAAGTGTATGGCCGGCAGTATATATATTATAAAACTATTCTATTTTCCAAAAGTAAAATTATCTACTTACTGACTGTGCCATTGCTGTGATTTTTTCTTATACTTTTATTTAGCAATGGGGATAATAAGTAGTATCCAAATTGATCTTACCTGGTATGTAAAAAAAATAAAGTAAATTATTCTATTTAATAAAATTTATCTGAGCCCTTAAGTGTCACACTGGGACGTTTTGGATCCTCACGACTTATTCATCTACTTTGAATAAAGTAATTTGTTTTTGTTGCAATGAAGAAAATAATGCTTGATTTTTAACTGCTGTTTTATAAGATAGTAAATATGACTTACAAAAAATTTTCAATTTAGTATGTTAAAAAATATATAATTTACAAAAAATTTCAAAAAATTATTTGTTTACCGTTTGAGGCATTGTCACAAACGACCCCAATGTTGCAGCTAAGGGTTAATATAATATCGTGTAATAATTACAGGAATATTTTTCAGAAAAACATGAACGGTATCAGGCTTTCAATTTTATATATAATTATATTGCTAATTATAGGATTTAATTTAACAAAAGGTTTCAGCGAGTCCAGAAAATTTCATATTGTGTTCGCAAACATCTCACTGATATATATTCAGTTCGAGTTGATACTAACAGAGGGCACTTAATCAGTAAATAGGTGCTATACAAGTGAGGAGCTCCCCGACTGTATATAAATACCGCCTCTCTGACTGTATAGAATTCTATTCAGTAAATATATGGTGATGAAATAAATTGTAACAATTTTCCAAATTACTAAATATATACTAGTAAATACCAGATGTTACGAAATATTTTTTCTTTTCTGAAAAATTGCCACTTCCTATAACTATATGCAACTTGAAAAAAAGAAACTTATTAGTCTATCATTTTTAGGTTATGTAAGTTGTAATTATGTTTTCAACACAAGTACAACTTTCCCGCACGCTTGGTGAAAAACATGAGCTTGAATTCAAGTTTTTACGCGTTGTTTTGATATTATATATATATATATATATATATATATATATATATATATATATATATATATATATATATATATATATGATATTTTACTATACCTAATATGGCCGGAAAAATAGATTCTTGACTCGTGTGGGGCTGACGCCCGAGCGAGGCGATTTACTCTTCCGCACTAGTTAGGTAACGTACTATTTCTTCTTAACTATACTACACTTTTATTACATTATTTCTAATAAACAGTCGGAATATATATCGAGAACTAGATATCGGTATCAGTAGAAAAACGTGAATTAATATTACATTACGCTACTAGGGAGCACAATAGGCAACGTTCGCACTACTAAGAAGGCCCGTAGTCAACACGCCATGCACGGAAAAACCTAGAAAACGCTACAGTACTTTTTCATCTTCTTGGGCTAAGATTGGTAAAATTGCAACTCAAATGGGTGGGCACTATGGCAGCGACATCCTTATGCGCGTGCAGGTACCTTATTGTAATGACGGTCATGCGCACTTAGACGCTGCGCAGTATCTTATGTCAGTATTATGACGGACACGATCGACGTATAATATACTGTGCAACGTCCAAATGCGCATGACCATCATCACAACAAAACCCCAGGCCTGTTCACAATGACACTATAGTTCAGTTCGTTCTGTTACACAATTTCAAATTTTAGCTTTGAATTTAACTTACTAGCGTCAACAAATGTATTTCACGCGCTCATCTCTTGTTTGTATTAATATTGAATTTCATGCTTGAATCAAATAAAAAATGTCATAAAATACACCGCATACATAAAATACTTTTATGCTTTAACATGCTTAACATCAGTCAATATTAATTTGCAAATAAAAATTCAATTACGTTGATATTCACAGATTTAGTTATAGTTTCAAGCTTATAACACAGCAGATCTTGAGATGTTAGCTAATTAGCCATAAATATTGGCCAATGTTCATTGTTTTATTATATTATTTTAAAGTTAGGTCGTTGAGTGAATGTGATCGTTATTCTTTTTTTAATGCCTACAAAGTCTCTTAATTTTTATTCGCTCGATTAATGAATACAATATCAATGTAAAATGACTCGAGGTATTTATTAACACGAATTTGCTGAATATGTCAGTTACTAAGCTAATAATGTCTTGTGTACACTAAATCCAAACCACATAAATATACACATACACATACTATCACATGATGGTAACCCATGTGACTACCTTTCAGCCAATCAGATCACGAATAAAATCACTCCATTTGGCACGGAATCACCTTTCTATATAAGAAAGAAATTTTGAGATCTTGATATAACAGAAATGATATGAATAAAAATATTGTGAGACTGTAGTTATGGATTTGCACGCACTAGGGCGTAATAGAAAGAGAAAAAGGAGAGAGAAATACAGTTGTATCGTTATTGAGTAAGTTGGATAGAGGGAGGAAATCGTGCGTGTAGGGTTTTTAGATTCCATAAAAATAAATAGGAGTTATCGACCTAAATAAAGATAAATAAATGATCAAAGTTGAGTCGTTATGCGTCGGTGATATAACAAGGTAGGTTTGCGTGTTTACATTTCCTCTAATAATTTTTAGTACATTGTGATACAACTGCAGGAAAGTAGATTCTTGTCTCGTGTGGTGAAAAGGTACACGAGACAAGAAACTCTTTTCCGGACATGTGCCGTATTATTTTTTTCAAAATGACGTGTGGAAAGTGCGATTTTCGACGCACGTTTTTCGCCAAGCGTGCGGAAAAGACGTATTTTGCGCACGAAGTGTCGAAAAATAAGGAATGACAGATTCTTTATAAAAAACCAATGTTATTCAATACCACTAATAAATTAATATCAAAAAAGAAAAGTGCTCGTCATCGAGTTGACAAAAAGATATTGAAGAAAAACACGACAAATTGACGCATTTTCAAGACGAAATCGTAAAAATAGCGACCTTAAATAAAATTTTTTTTTATATTTTATTATAAATTGTATATTTGTGAACGAGCAGTCAATTATAACACTATTTTTAATAAATATTTAGGTTGGAAAGATGTCAATTGGATCCACTTTGAAAGTTAGGGTGGGAGGCCACTTTCGACTATTTTGGGCCGACAGTACCCTATCTCCCCAGCAAGAGCATCTTTAAAAGCAGACCCGGCTGTGTGACGACACAGTAATACTCTAAACATAACATTTTCGGGCGCCTACGGCACCAGAACATTTCAGCACCGCCCTTCGCGCGTTCGAACGTATCGTATACATCTTGAGTTAAATCGATTAGAGATTAGATACCTCCTAATCTTTGACTGCGTATCGTGTAAGAATACTGAATTGTCTTTTTCAATAGTAATCTTGCTTGTGTATTAATTACAATCTTTGACAATCGTCTCAAGATATTGCTGTTTGCTTTTCGTTAACAATTTGTGTACAAAACATACGAATTAACAAACACAAAAATAACTAATCGCTTATTTGTTTTTTTTTTTAATAACACTGATAGTATTTACTCGAATAATTATTTACAGAATAATTAGTAACTACTTCACTTCGACTCCATGACACTTCATTAAGCTATAAATTGAAAATGTATTTCCCCAAACTACCTAGCATCCGAATGCCTTCCGAAAGGTTAAAAAGCCAGAGTAGTAATCGGCAAAGTTCGCTGTAGCACTCCCTTGGCAAAAACTTAGCCGGGCCATAAATTGCCGACAAAGAAAACAAAAGATGCTGGCTGCAGCGGAGACCAACCCAGTAGCCTCGTTGCAAAAACAAAACTAATTCCCATTTAAACTTTCCTCGCTCGCTCTAATTTCCAGCTTCTCTCTCTCTCTCTCTCTCTCTCTCTCTCTCTCTCTCTCTCTCTCTCTCTCTCGTTCTTCCTTCTCTCCTCGCTCTCCTGAGAGAAAAATAAAAATGACGCTGCAGAGTGCCGTACGCGTACGTGCCAACGTCGTCCTCGGGGCTGCTCATTCGTATGCGGCTTTTACGCGCTGTCGTCGTCTTCGTCTCGGAAGCTCTTAGTTTATTGGAGCTGAAAACGAACACGGCGGCGGATTGATCGAATCAACTCTATACTTTCAGCCAATGCCAATTTGCCATCCAAAGGCGTACTTCTCTCTCTCTTTCTCTCTTTACCTTCTTTTGATAGGTCGGATTTGCGTTGAGCGCTAAATTGGTTATTAAGATTGCGTTTCCCGGGATCTTCTGAGAGATATTTCTATTCGAGTTTGTAAGGGATGAAGGGAGAAAAAGATTTTTTTACGATTTTCGGAAGCTTTTAAAAATCTCAATTGATCTAGTATCGAGAGCACACGCGATTGCCCTCGAATGATGTAAACAGATGCACATATATCAAAGTGGATACCATATAGCGCATTCGCCGGCAAGCGGGCAATTGCTTTCAAAGGCAAACGTTCAATCGATCTTTCGCCAACCTTTTACTTTTTCATCAACAAGAAGCGCTCGAACATTTTTCATTGCTCGGAGCCCGGCAGAGTATCCGAAAGCTAATCAGTGAATTGCGCGAGTGGCGCTGTTGCCTCGCTTAGACCCCGCGGCTGATCTCGGCATCGCATATCATCGGCCTATTAAAAAACAAAAGGAAGCAATTCCGTGGACGCCCGTCCCAAAACCGAATGTCCGCTCTCGAGGCGTGCGGCGAGATAAGCGGGCATATTTTCGGGAGCGCGCAAAAGGCCGGAGAACCTCTCGATAAGTGAGTCGCTGCGGCGGCAGTATTGGCACACAGCGACGGCGGAGGAAGGGGGGGGGGCTGCAACCCGCAAAAAGGCCATTAGCCGCAAGTGCGCAATTAGTTTCCAAGCGATAGTGCAGAGAAGAGGGGAGCAGGGATGCCGCGATGCAGGCGCGCCCGCCATAGCTAAACCGGGAGCTAATGCCCTCCCTCTATTTTTCGTGTATGGAAAACGAGGCTTATCTAGACGTGCCACCGCCAGTGTGTGGACTCGAATATAAATTCAATTATTTCCAGTTTTCCGAGCTTCTTTTCAAATCTGCCCTATAACTCCCGTTATCTCTTTGCAGCCGGGGGAGAGGAGGGGAGTGGTTTTGTTAAAACTTGTTTTTATTTTCTTGCTCTGCTGTGTTGCGCGCACTCTTCTTTTTCCTGTTTTTACGGTGCGATTTTTCGCTGTACTATCGTATCGTTTGTACTCACGAGTAATGGCTGACATAGTTTGGATGTGAGTTTTAGGGCGGCTCGCGGCAGCTGGTTTAGTGGTAGACGACTCACCTGCAACAAATAAGAAAGTAATAGGTCAAAGCGGAGTGCTAGTTACGAGATAAAGAGTTTTTATATTTTTCGACGAGTAATAATAAATTTACATTTCATCTGCTGATTAAACTGTACATATCGATGTGAAAATTTCAATCTTTTTTAATAATCCAAATCACTGTTAATACATCGATCACAGTGTCATTCGTGAAATTATTTTGTTTTTAAATTATCGGGATGTTAAAAAATCAATTTACTTTCGTTTAGTAGTTCAACATTCATCAAAAATTCAATTTATTTTTTAACATCCGATTTCTTATACCTACCCACACCCTCCATGCCAATTTTTGAATTCCATCAAAAAAAAAAAAAAAAAGAGGTAAATAAAAAAATAAAATGCCGGCACCTCAATACCCACACAGTGTAGCCATTTCACCAAACAACAATTTTTACGATACAATTTACTATCGCGCGGCCGTCGGCTTCAAGCTGTATACCCTATCGAATTTTTTTTACTCTTGCCGAATACCACATCGAAAAAGTGCAGTGACGCAGTGCCATTATATCCTCCACACTACTTTCACAATGCATCGTCGCGTGTTTTTCGATACGCTCGTTTTCGCTCCCACTTGGTGACAATAAAAAATCGCTTCATGAACGCTGCAATTTCCGGTACACTCTCTGACGGATTTCAAAAAAAAAAGTAAAAAAGGCGCATGCGTTCCGTCGTCTGCGGTCGCCGAGGTGCATGAATATTGGATTTTTACACGGATTTCGGAGACGTTTGAGTGCACACGCGCGTCCATATGATTTACGAATGGCCGTTTAATATTCAGAAATGCGTTTTTTTTTTCCATCACCACTAGATGCACTTCGAGTATTAACGGAGAATTTTTCTCGCTTAATAATTCATCAAAGAGCTC